TGGATTCTGAATGAAGAAAGCATCCACAAGGGAGAGAGAGAGTGGCACCAGCAAGTGCCAGGAAGAGTGGGTGACACCTGGGATGGAAGATTGGTGGCCAATGCCACATTGCCTTAATTACTTTAGTTTTATAGATTTTAATATCTGGTGGTGGGCTTCTCCATCTCCCTTCTTCTTCAAGATTGCATTGGCCCTTTATATTTCCATGTAAAGGTCAAAAAATCTTGGCAATATCCTCATTTCAAAAAGTGCTGGGATTTTGTTTGAGATTTCACGGAATCTGTAGATAAATTTCAGAACTCACATCCTTACAATATTAAATCTTTTAACCAATAAGCATGATATAAGTCTTAATTTCTCTGGATACTCTTGTGTAGTTTTGAGAGTAGAGGTCTTGGATACTTGCTGTGAGATTTATTCCTAGGATTCAACTGCGTGTTTTTTTTCAATGCTATACTACATAGTATGCTTTACCAATATCATTTCCTAACTGCAATTGATATATGAAGAGCTGCATTTGATTTTGTGTGTCCAGAGATTTGGTAAAATTCACTTATTAGTTTGGACAGTTTATCTGTAGTAACTTTTGGATTTTCTGGTTACACAACTTGTCACTGATGATTTATTTTTTCTTTTCTTATCCTTACAAATTTTGATTCTTTTTTTCCCCTCCTATTTCCCTGACAAGGACATCGGGTATAATGTTAAATAGAAATGATGATAACAAACATTATCTTCTCACTCCCAACCACAGCAGGAAAGCTTTTAATATTTCTTATTTAACTATAATGTTTGCAGTAGGTTTCTTTTCATGATTGTGTCCTGAAGCATATGACATAAAATTTGTTGTAGTTTTTTTTCTCATTCTAAATATCCCCTTTTAACCTCATTTTGTATTTATAATTTTGAATTTCTTTTTCTTATATAAGCTCTCCTCTAAAGTTTTAGAAGCTTAATACTCCACAAAACTTAGCCCTGACCCTGCTTGTGCAGGTGTTCAGCACCACATCAGGTCACCAGGCTCTAGCTATCTTTCTGCTCCACCTTCCTCAAATGTTGTCTTCATTCCTATGCCTGTTGCCTCTTGGTTGCAAGAAGGCTGCTGCCTCTCAAGGTCTAATATCCATAGTTCAGGAAGGAAAGAAAAAAGAGCAGAAAATATATTCTCAGGAAACTTTTTCTTTCTCTTCTCTTCCTTTTCTTTCTTTCTTTCTTTTTTCTTTTCTTTTCTTTTTTTTTTTTTTGTTGGAAAGAGATTACCAATTAGCAAGCTTCTGCCAATATATCTGTAGTTCGCAGTAAAGGACATATTCTTATATTTGTTTGCTTTTATTCTTCCCTCAATTAGGACTGGATTTTTTTTTTTCTTTCTCTCTCCCTCTTTTTTTAAAATATTTTATTATTTGACACATACACAGAAAGAGATAGTGAGAGAGAGAGCACAAGCAGGGGGAATGGCAGGCAGTGGGAGAGGGAGAAGCAGGCTCCCCGCTGAGCAAGGAGCCCATCGCAGGGTTCTATCCCAGGCCCCTGGGATCATGACCTGAGCTGAAGGCAGACGCTTAACCAATTGAGCCACCCAGGCGCCCCTAAGATTATTTCTTTATTACTATAATTTGCAAATTTAATTACAATACATCTTGGTGTTGGCCTGCTTTTGTTGATTTTGATGGGAATTCTCTGTGTCTCCTGGATCTGGATGTCTGTTTCCTTCCCGAGATTAGGGAAGTTTTCAGCTATCATTTCCTCAAATAATATTCTGCACCCTTTTCTCTTTCTTCTTCTGGGACTCCTATAATATGAATATTATTATGTTTGATGGAGTCCCTGAGTTCCCTAAGTGTATTCTCGTGTTCCATAACTCTTCTTTCTCTCTTTTGTTCAGCTTCATATTGTCCATTATTTTGTCTTCTAGGTCACTAATTCATTTCTCTGTTTCTTCCAGCCTCCTGTTCATTGCATCAAGCCCGTTTCCAATCTTGTTTATGGCATTCTTCATCTCTGATTCTTTTTAAACTCTTTTATCTCTGTTGTAAGGGTCTTACTGATGTCTTCTATTCTTTTCTCAAGCCAAGTGATTATCCTTATGATTATTGCTTTTAATTCTCCATCAGGCATGTTACTTATATCTGTTTCACTTAGATCTCTGACCATGGCCTTATATTGTTCTTTCATTTGGGATAAAATCCTCCGTCTTTGCATTTTGTCTGAGTTGCTGCCTTCTTCTCTGCATTTGAAAAGCCAGTTATGTCTCCTCGTTCTGAAAGTAATGGCCTAATGAAGAGGTCATGAGGTGCCCAGAGCCTTGTGCTTTGGGGAGTGTCTCAGGTATGTGCTACATATACTCTGCTCTTGTGTTTTGGCTGCTCTATCCTTCAGGCCAATTGTTTGCAGAGGTTCTCCTTGCCTATTGTGGGCAGTTTTTGGTCCCTGGCCAGAATATGGCAAGTTTTAAGTAGGTGTGCTCTGGTCTGCTTGTGAAATGAGACCTGACACAAACTCCACCATAACTGGGGCCCTGCAGAACTCTCTGGTCAGGAGATGTGGTGTGGGCAGGGGTTTGTGCTTGTTTTCTGGGGGGAGGGGCCTGCTGCCCTGGGACTGAGGCAAGCTTGACTGAGAAGGGCAGTCCTGCCAGAGTGCAGGGGGGTGGGGCTTGGTGTTAGCACATGAGGCAGCCAGTGATCCCCCTGAACTGGCCTCCTGTTCAGGTGGTTCCGTGTTTATGCTGAGGGGTGGGGGAGGGAAATGGTGCCAGCCAACAAGCACCTTTGCTCCCAGAGAGGCAACTCCATGAATGTTGCCTCTCAGGGACAACTTCTGAGAAGAGCAATTCGTTTTCCCACCGTGTGCCTCAGGTGCTCTTTAGATCACTGTTTCCACACTGTCTGCCTGAGTAATGTTTGCCTGCCTTCTCTCCAGGAGCAGTATAGTGCTCTCAGGGCTCTATGCCAGCCAAACCCGCTGACCTTTAAAACTCCAGTCTTCAAGCCCTGCTGGTTGCAAAAACTCACAGAATTTAGCCTCATTTTCCAAGCCAGTGGCTTTGGGAAAACATTTTCCTTGCGCATCCACCCCCTGTTCAATCCTCTCAATCTTGCCCCTCTCTGAGAACATGGCTCCTTATCCCTCTGCAGCACCTGGGATCTGTTTCTCCCCTCAATTCCATCTCTGCACCTCCTACCTTCTTTGATGTGGCCTCTTCTCTCCCTTTAGTTGTGCAGTTTGTTCTATTTGTCTTCAGGCCAATTTTTGGAGCATTTAGGATGATTTGCTAGTTATCTAGCTGTGTTCACTGGATAAGATGAGCCAAAGGTTTCCTCCTCTCCCACCATCTTCCTCTCCCTCCCCCTCAAAAAAACTTCTTATGTGGTGCTGTTTCCTTTTTCTCACAAGTCTCTGGAAATAGAGTAAGTCCTTATTCCTCCTTTTAGCTTCCAGGTGATTCTTCCCATTTCCTCCCCACCAACTCCAAATTTCCTGTCATCAGACTCTAACACTCAACTATAAACACTCAACTATTCCTCACTGCTGCAATCACACCTACCCTGAGTTACATTCCTCATTTCCAATGATTAGCTCTTCTCTCATGTTTCAACAATACTCCTGTCTTGAGTCATGGTTATTTTTAATATAACCAGAAATGAAATCTCAAATTCCACAATTCCAAAACTTAACTCATAGACTTGACCTACCCAGTCTTTCTCCTCTCAGTTGCCTTCTTCTCATATGACACATCTAATCATTCAGGAAATCGTATTAGTCTTCGAAATGTCTTTAGGCAGTCTTTCAATTAACTGGTCTATTTTCTGTGCAGCTACTAGTTTTTTTGGTAGTATTTGAACTTGCAACTCAGTGGCTCCTACCTACATCCCAGGGTCCTTGTGATTGCATTCTAGATTATACCTTCTTCCACTCTTCTATCCCTGGAGGAATTCACATTCCCTTTATATTACACATATATAACCATAGTATATTAATACCCACTTCTCCCACCTTCCCTTCCTGTAATCTCCTCACCATTATGGATTTATATAATGATTTATGTATTAACTGTTATTTAAGTGGGCTGGAGAGTAAGGAGAGAAAATAAGAATTAGATAAATATGGTTCCTTATTCTACTCTCTTGAACCAGAAACCCCATATCATCAATAGGGCCTCTTGTCTTTTAAAATTCTTTCATCCTTTTATTGTATCCATACATGACAAAATAATAATATGGGTACATTTATTTTTTTTATTTTTTTTAAAGATTTTATTTATTTATTCATGAGAGACAGAGAAAGAGAGAAAGAGACACAGAGGGAGAAGCAGGCTTCCCGCTGAGCAGAGAGCCTGATGTGGGGCTCGATCCCAGGACGCTGGGATCATGACCTGAGCCGAAGGCAGTTGCTTAACCATCTGAGCCACCCAGGCACCCCAATAATATGAGTACATTTAGTTTTAAATGTGTATCTTGAATTTTATTAACATAACAGAATCTACTTTTTTAAAGCCTCATTCTTGGGGTGCCTGGGTGGCTCAGTCATTAAGCATCTGCCTTCTGCTCAGTTCATGATCCCAGGGTCCTGGGATCGAGCCCTGCATCGCGTCGGGCTCTCTGCTCAGCGGGAAGCCTGCTTCTCCCTCTCCCACTCCCCCTGCTTGTGTTCCCTCTCTCTCTGTGTCTTTCTCTGTCAAATAAATAAATAAAATCTTAAAAAAAATAAATAAAGCATCATTCTCTAAGATGAATTATGGAAAATTAGTATTTGGGTTCTAACTTTGGACACCATGGGTAGGATAAACATTGATCTTTGAAGGTCTCCTAAATTTGGGTAAATGTTTCTTTGACAATATCTGACAGTCCAGTGTTTTTCTAATATCATCCTTTCATCTTTTGACTCAGACACTTGTTTTTCAGAGTTTAGTCACCAGGTTTTAATTGCTAAAAAAAAGAAAAGAAAAGAAAACAAAGAAAAAGTTCCAACAATCTTTGCTACATGATTTTTAATAACCTGACTCAGTTTTTCAGTATTCTGGACAAAATGAGCATATATATGACTTGAGTAATAAAGCTGGGAATAAATCGAGAGCAAGTACGTCATATTAATGAGTAATCTATTTTAAAATAATCATGTCTGGAAGGAATAGGAGAAGTTAAAGAACAATTCCTAGAATTAGAAGGTGTGGGCTTCTTTCACATAAGAGTGATACATTTGAATAAAATAAATATTCACGTAAGCAGGATAAGACTTTCAGTCTCTAAATCACCCCAATATCAAAGCAGAAATTCAATGGAATTAAGTAGATTTTTATAATAGGAAATTTTTAGAATCATTTGGAAAAGGAGATGTGGGAAATATACCCTCATTTCACATGACTTAAAAGAGAAATTGCTATTTTCACATAAAAAAATAAAGCTGGCTCTAATATCCTGTTTGAAGGTTATTATAAATGTCTCTCTGAGAAATATCTCAAGTGCCATGGATGCCTCAGAAATACCATCATTGAACTTTTTTTTTTACGCAAGAAAGCGTAAAAACAACAACAACAAACACCAAAATTTGAGGTTCATAAAGATTAGAAAAAGTTACACTCTGTATCCCTATTGATTTTAAAAACAATTAAGCTGTAGTGTATTCTCCAACTCTGGGAAGCATGATATAATGGGGCATTACAGTTTAGTTTTCAATTCATCATCATTCAAAACTTTGGAATTTTGGTTCATATCTTTGGATTCATTTTCCTTCCCTGTAAACTTTGCCTCTACAAGCACAGTTCCTGAACAGGCATTTTCACCAGGTAGAAGACGCTTCTTTAAAATAATTAGGATTAAAAAGGCTGGAATATAGCTTGTTCCTCTTAGAGCTGCGGGCAAGCCAAGGTAGATGTATCTATCAAAAAAAAATGTTAAAACATATTAAATGTTGCATAGTGTGGGTAGTATAAGCTAGTATTGCATACCCTTAATTATTAACATTTCATTCCCATGAGGACAACAGCAGCTAATTGTTTTGCATGTCAATGTTATATAAGCAACTTTTCTGAACTCACTTATTAATTCTAATGTTTGTTAAACGTTTTTTGGAATTTTTCATCCAGAAAATTCACACTTCTTTTCTTCTTTTCTAATCTTCTGGGTTTTTAAAATCCTTTTACACAAAATTGAGCCTCTAATTTAAATGTAATACTGACAGCAATAGCAGTTTTATTTATCTAATTAAGATCTAATTTATCTAATTAAGAATGCTTCCAAAGAAATCACCATCAATTGTGATTTCTACTTGGGTGGGGGGGTTGATGACCTTAATCAAGTTAAGGAACTTCCTCTTCTATTCTGAGTTTGCCCAAAGTTTTAATTATGAGTATGTAAAATATCACCAAATTATTTTTCTGCATATAGTTAGCAGAATATCCAAGATCTTACCCCTTTTACTGAGTTAATAGGGTATATTAGATTAATAGAGTTTTCTCATATTGAACTGTCCATTCATGCATAATATAAACTCCATTAGTGAGTGTTTTATACATTAGATTTGATTTATTCATTTTTATTTAGAATTTTTGCATGCATATTTGTAAGTAAAATCAGCCTGTACTTTTTTCCTTCTACTGAACTTGTCTAATGTCTACAAAATTGTACTAGTTTTGTAAATGAATTGGGAAATTTTCCCTTTTTTTCCATTTTTCAGAATGACATGTGTTATGCAGAAATCATCAGTTCATTGAAGGTTTGTAAAACTTGTCTTAAAAGAATCTGGACTTGGTGTCCTTGGAGGATGGGAATTTTTGACTGATTCATGTTTTTAAATAGCTATGAAAATATTCATGTTTTCTATGTATCTATAATAAAATTTGGTAATATATACTCATCTAGAAAACTATTTAATATTTCCAAATTGCTGTATCTAAAATCCCTAAGTATTTGTACTTATATTTCCTTTTTTATTCTTTATAGCATTTATTTGTACCTCCTCTCTATTTGCCTTTCCAGAGTATTATTATTATTATATTTTAATCTTTTCAAAAAACAGTGTTTTACTTTTTTGGCTACCTCTGTGGTGTGTAGTCTATTAATTTCATCATCTTTTTATTTCATCTTTTTACTTCTAAAATGTTATAATGAAACACTTCAAGAATACAGAAAAAATAAGTTAACTAATATGTTTGTACTTACCACCCAGGTTTTCAAAATGATTAAATTTTACCATTTTTGTTTCAGACCAATTCAAAAGAAAAAACTAATACATGGAAATCCCTGTGTGGCCCTATGATATTATCTTTTAGCCCTTCCTAGACATAAAACTATGTTGAATGTTATGGATTTTGTTTCTAGTTTATTTTTATAGTTTTGCAAAGTGTATATGTATATATTCATAATGTATAGAATTACTTTATATGTTTCTACATTTTAAATAATTGGCACAATACTATACATTTTATTCTGTGTATATTGTCTTTGAACCCAGTTATATCCCTTTGGAATTTAAAAAATATATTGTATCTATTGTTCTTATTTGAAATAGGAAATATATCAATACATAACTTAATGAATTATTTATCAGGTTTTTCTACTTTCATTGAAGTTACATTGTCCTTTTTCTAAATTCTGAGTCACTAATTTCCAGTCTTTTTAAAAACATATATATATTTAAATTTCTAAATATACCTTTGAGTACTGGTTTAGTCTTGTCACACAGGTTTTCCTATCCAGTGCTTTCACTAACATAGAGTTCTAGTTACTTCATTATTTTTATTATAATTTATTCTTTGACCGGTAAGTAATTTCAAGTGTGAGGTTTTGGCAACATTTTATCATAGATTTCTAATTGCATTGCATTATGGACAGAAAATAGTGGTTACGTGGTATCAACACTTTTTTTTTTTTTAACTTTGTGGCATTGGACTTAGTTGTAATAAATGTTTATTATAGGCTTGAGAAAGATGTATATTCTATTGGTTGGGCTTTTTTTAAATTGCTATATATCTATTAGATAGATAGATCTATTAGATAGATAGATTGTACAATATGGTGGTTCACAATTTTCTCTATCCTCAATAAATTTTTGCCTACATTTTCTATTCACTCATTGGGAAAGTTTGTTGAAATTTTCCACTCTGATTTAAATTTCTTCCTGTAATTTTGTGAATTTTTTGTTTTATATGTTTGAGATTAGGTTGATATATATAGGTTGATTACTGCTATATATTATTGATAAAGCATTTCTTTTATTATTAAGTAATATCCTTCTTTAACTCTATTGATCCTTTTTATTTTATTTTATTTTATTTTATTTTATTTTATTTTATTTTTAAAGTAGGCTTCACGCCCAGCATAGAGCCCAATGCAGGGCTTGAATTCATGACCCTGAGATCAAGACCTGAGCTGAAATCAAGAGTTGGATGCTTAACTGTCTGAGCCACCCAGGTGCCCCAATCCTTTTCACTTTAAATTCTATTTTGTCTCATAGTCATTAATATAACCACAGAAGTTTGATTTAATATCTGCCTGGTATATCTTTTCTGACTTTTATCTTCAGTCTTTCCTCACACTTTATTTTTTAGGCTGTGTCTTGCAAATAACATATAGCTAGAATTTTGAAAACACTGAAACTCACATGAAAGTCACTATCTTTTAAGAAGCAAGTTCATTTGCTTTGCATTTATTGATAAACCTGATATATTTAGGTTTATTTTTCAACTTATTTTGTATGCTTTTATTTTCCTATTTCCTACTTCCATTGAATTTTCCTTAATCCCTTTCTTCCTTTCTAGTAGCTTGGAATAAATGTAAGTTTATTCCAAGATTATTTATATCCTTACATTTTTGGCAAAATTTAAAGTTAATCAGTATTTCTGTTCTTAAGAACTTCAAAAGAGTCCTAGACTTTACCTGGATTTTATTTTTTTAAAGATTTTATTTATTTATTTGACAGAGAGAGACACAGAGAGAAAGGGAACACAAGCAGGGGGAGTGGGAGAGGGGGAAGCAGGCTTCCTGCGGAGCAGGGAGCCCGATGCGGGGCTCGATCCCAGGACCCTGGGCTTAATGACTGAGCCATCCAGGCGCCACTACCTGGATTTGAAGCTAACAGGTTAGCCTGCCACAGTTGCATGAATGCTGGCTCAAGATAAAGACTACTAGGTCAGAGACACAGGGCTTTTTTACTCACAGTACAGCAATCAGCAAAACCTGCAAATTCAGGTTGGTTTTCCTTAACCTTCAAGTCCCAAAGGAATCACACAGTGAGAGACCTATGTGGATTTTGTGCACACAATGGGTTTGGGTCACAGCTAAGAAATCCTGAGTTTAGGAAATTCCATTCTTTTAAATGGGCTGCAAGCCAATTGCCAACATTTGCCCTAGAGAGAGTTACTATTTTTATCATCCTAGACAGCAAACTCTGCTCCATAGGAAAACATCACCTGTATCTTCCAAGGTCATTTACTATTCGAGCATTCTTGAAAAGATAGTCTACAGCAAAAGCCTCTGCTAACAAGATATGCAGAAATGTAAAAGACCCATGGAGAACTGTCTACTAACGATATCCACCGCCTGTTTCTACACAATATTAACATCTGGTGAATTTTTCTTATGAGTACACTTTATCAGCCACTCTAATTAATCTGACTGATAGAGTTTGGTACCAAATATAATTATTTTGTCTGAAATAGCATTTAGTTAAGGCTACTATCAACAGGAATCCTGGCAGCAGGATGAGGCTGATCTACACTAGCGATCCTTGTGGTTTCTCAGCTCTGAGGCAAACCCATTGCATGTACAGTGTGTGCCTCGGCCCACCTCCACATTACCCCTGTAGAGCTTTAGGGGAACAGAGAACTGATGAAAACAGGAATCTCATGCTGTCTGCCCTCCTCACAGTTCTTCACATATATCCTTTTGTTAATCAACATAGGACCTTAAAATGTTTTAAAGAATGCTAAATTTTTTTTAGTAAATAAAGAGTTTTTGTACTGCCCTGTCAAGAGAAATTAATACAAATTTAACAATTCAGGTCTCCAAATGAAAAGAAACGTGAAAATAGAACAAAATGGAAGTGTTTTGTTAAAAAACACATTAATATGATCTTGAGCTTCGTTTAAAATCAGACTTATATTAACAAAAGAATAAGCCTTTATGAGACATGAAGAATATTGTGTCAGCAAAATTTAATGAAGGAGGAAACATATCATTTCGAAAAGTAGAGGTGGATATGAAAGGAAGTAAAGATTCAGGCTAGTATGATGTTAAAATGATGTAGGATAAAATGTGAACACTTTAGAGAGTAATGTAATTTAGATAGGAAGTTTATGTACAGCTATGACTTTCAATAATGTATTGATTGCTACCAATTTAACAAAGATCATTTTGAAAGGCTAGGTTAAGGAAGCCATCCATGCTTATATTTAACAAGTACTTTGAATATAGTAAGGAAATAAGATTCTAGTATATAAATAAGGAATAAAGATATAGTATTAGCATATATTCTGGAAACACAACCAAAAGTAGTCTAGTACCTGACAAAGAAAATGTTATATGTGAATGGTGCCATTTCATGTACAGCCTGTGCTTTGAAAACAATTCTTCAAAAAATTTATTATCTTTACCTGAAGTAGGCAGAATCATATATCCTGCATGCCCCTGACTCACCACATTTCAAAATTCCCCAATGTAAACACGTGGAATCCGCTAAAGCTCCAAAATATATAGGTGCAGGAATTCCAGCTACAATTAAAGAGGGGAGAAGGAATAATCCATCAACAAGGTAAGAATTAAGGTACATTATTTTGTTTGGAAACATTTCCCCTATCTGTAGAACAAATAAAGTTTAGATAAACTTTATTTGTTTAATAAATAAATAAATAAAATAGAATGCTTTAGGTTTTATTTTTAGAAATTAGAAGTTACCTTTACTATAAAGTTTCTAAATTATAAAGGACAAGTAATGTGATGGATAAATGCAACATAAAATTATTGATATAGGAAAACACCGAATTAATGATTCTTAATTTTTTTCTGCAGTGCTTTGGGCCAATCATGTGTACAAGACATTTTTTTGTTCATTTGCTTTTAAAATCTTCTAATAGATGAAAAGTAGAATTAAGTTCAGATAAATCTTTTTCAAGTAAAGGGGGAAAGTTCTCCATGTCTTATTGTCCCTCACTCTCATATAAATTACAAAGTGCTGCAAACAGAAGGGATATTTGCTAGACTATTACTCTGAGAGAATGATTTCATTTACTTAGTATTTAATAATGATCTGATGTTGGAAAAAATAACTATTTTTACCAAATACTCTTGTGCAAAATGTATGTAACCCCACACCAAGAGACTTCTCTTCAGGCTTGATACACCTAAAAAAATAAGTAAATTCACAAATAAAATAAAAGTAGAGATTTAAATACTGTCATAGTTTTTTTTTTTTTTAAACTTTTTGTATGCTGGTAACACACTGGGCACTAGAAAATTGTTTTGCATACTTGGTTATTCAAGGCCTAATTATCCAGTATATAGCCTGCACAGAACCTCTACTTCTGATCCTTGGCATTTTACCCATCATTTTTTGCTCATTCATTTCTATCAGAGAGTTATCAAAGAAGAAAATATTTCATATCAATTTCTACCCCAATATCTACTTATTGAAGTGGCAGTTCTTCATTAAACCTTCAGCCTAAAACAAAACTATGCAACCCTTGCTGTATTTAAATTATTTGTATTGACAAAATACAGAAAAGCCAAGAATTTATATAAGTAAATGTAAGGCAGAAAGAAAGCAAAAATAAAAATTTTCAAAGGAATATGACAAAGAATTCCAACGCAAACATATTTTATGTGATTTGGTATCATTTCGAGTCACACAGATCTCTCCATTCTCTCCAAAAATTCCCCCACTTTTTCACTGTTGCCTGAAATTCCTATATGTAGAAATGAAGACTATAATTCCCCAATGGCCCTTTTTGTGTCCCGCTCACTCCAGCATCAACATGGCTAACTCACCAAAGAATTCACTTTGAGAGTTCCACTGTATTCCCTTCCCTGATTAACTCAAAGCTGAGAAAATAAAAGCAGCTTTCTTCACAAAAGCATGCAATACATTTTTAGCAAAAATGTCATCTTATTGGCATTTTCTCAATGTAAGTGTTTTACTAAATTTGAAAACCTCATAGTTTGATCTGGACATTATCTTCCTGACACATAGGTTAGTTAGACAACATCAATGATTTTACTCAGAAGAAAGTTAAGAAAGCCAGGAGACCCAGCATGACCCTCTGAGTCCCATGGTTTCCATTTAATACAGAAAATAGGGCATTAAATTTTCCTGAAAAATTTTTCTTTCCCCTCTATCTCTAATATACCACTTAATGATCTCACAGAAGCATGAAATACTAATAGCAAAGAAATTATTTAAGCAGTTGAAACAGTTGAAACGGTTCTGTGAACTCTATCATTGATTGGCATTGATAGTAACATCAATTTCTAGAATCTAAGAATCAGAAGAATTAGCATGCAAATCATGGGAAAATGCTGAGAGAAATTGAAATTGTTCTTTAAACTAGCAGAGTAGCATTGATGTTGCGCCCCTCTACCATAAGAGATCCAGGAAGATTCCACAAAAATAGAGACAAACACAAGTGTATTAATAACAACCTCAGGGTTAAATTCTACAATATGGTCCTGGCAAGAGGTGGGGGAAGAAAGTAGAGTCGTGAAGAGAGCCCGATTAGGTACTTGTTTTATTAGGGGATAGATACTAATACTGAAAAGGTTTGAAATTGATAGTAAAACATTAATGTAGTTAAGAATTTCAATAATCAGGTTAACCATTTGAAAGACATACAGCTTTCAAAGCAGCAGAAGAATATCCAATATATACCATAGTTTCCCCCTTATCTGTGGTTTGAGTTACCCACAGTCAACCGCAGTCAGGAAGCAGATGGTCCAGAGGCTGACACATCACTGGAAGATCAAAAGCAGCCAAATGCTACGATCCCTGTATCACAGTGCCTATGTCATTCACCTCCTTTCATCTCATCATGTAGGCATTTTATCATCTAACATCATCACAAAAGGGAAAAGGGTGAGCACAGGGGCGCCTGGGTGGCTCAGTGGGTTTAGTGTCTGCCTTCAGCTCAGGTCATGATCCCAGGGTCCTGGGATGGAGCTCTTCAAGCAGGGCTCTCTACTCAGTGGGAAGCCTGCTTCTCCCTCTCCCTCTGCCTGCCACTCCCCCTGATTGTGCTTTCTCTCTCTGTGTCAAAAAAAAAAAAAAAAAAAAAAAAAAAAAAAAAAGGTGAGTACAGCACAATGAGATATTTTGATAGTGAGAGAGACCACATGCACTTAACTTTCATTACAGTATATTGTTACAATTGTTCTATTTCATTATTGTTGTTAATTTCTTGCTGTGTCTAATTTATAAGTTAGACTTTATCACAGTTATGTATATATAGGAAAAAAACATAATATATGTAGGGTTTGGTACTATCCAGGGTTTCAGGCATCCACTGGAGATCTTAAAATACATCCCTTGCAGATAAGGGGGTACCACTGTACAATGGAAAGCAAAAAAGAAGTAAAAAGAAAGTTAAATAAATAGAATATATTAAATAAAATGGCAAAAAGAGCCTTACCACAATAATTATAAGAAACATAAGTGGGTTAAAGGTACCATTTTTAGATGATAAAATCATACCTAGCAAATTATCTATGAAGCATAAGGAAGGATTGAAGACTGAAAATAAAGGGAAGGGAAAAGATATAACAGGAACAGTGAACCAAAAGAAAGCTAGAATGGCAATTTTAATAAGAAACAAAATATAATTCCTTGAAAGAAATAGCTAAAAGAAGAGAATTAAATAATGCTAATAATAGAAGTATAATGACCAAAAGCATATTTGCATCCTATAATATAGCCTCCAAATATATAAATTAAAAAAACAGGTGATGGGTATCAAGGAGGGCACATGTTGTGATGAGCACTGAGTGTTGTACGCAACTAATGAATTGCTGAACACTACATTAAAAACTAATGAAGTACTATATGTTAGCTAACTGAACATAATAAAAAGAACTGGCAGAATTATAGGGAGAAATGCATCAACAATATTTACAGATTTGAACACACATCTCTGAAAAACTGATGAATTACATTTACAAAAGTTTGATAACAAAGTACTTCAATCCAAGAGATATGAGAACTGTATACTCAAAATGCAGAAGTTACCCATTCTTTCCAGAAAACCATGAAATACTCAAAAAATGCCCTAGGCCCCAAAGAAAGGATTGATATCCCACTTCCCCAATCTGTAATCTTTCAGAATATGTTCTCTGAACATAAAAATGGAATAACAATAAGAAAACGATACCTATAGAAACTTCTAATAGATGTGAACATTATATAATACATTAATAAATAAACTTGGTCTGGTGGGGCAAATCATAAAAGAAACTGTAAAAGAGTTAAAAATCTTGAAAGAAAATACTCGCTGAGGCATAGCTAAAGCAGTAGTTGGGAGGAAATGTATAGTTTTATATACAGTAGTCAAAATGAACAAGTGATCTAAGTATTAAACTCAAATAGTTAAAGAAAAACAGAGCAAGCCTAAAAGAAAAAAAATTAAGTACAGGAATACATGAAATAAAGATTAACAAAACCAAAACTGATTCTTTAAAAGAAGAAAAATGAAACATATGCCTCTGGCAAGAGTGATCAAGAAAAAATGAAGAAGGGACAAATAAACAAAATACATAAGAAAAAAAGGGTAAACCTTTCAGATACATCAGAGAATATCAGAATGATAAAAGAATATTATAAACTCCTATTCACTAACAAGTAAGTATACAACAGGTATAAGTAGAAATGGAAAATGTGAATAGGCGCTAACACTGAATAAATGGAAATAATAATCAAATATCACTGTTCAAATGAGCCCAGAGCATAAATACTTTTACAGGTGGATATATATAACTTTCAACAGACAGATGTTTAATATAAGTAGTTCCAGAAATTAAAAAATAGAAAATTTATCAATTCATTTTGTGGGGTCTCAAATGATCCCAAAGCAAAAAAAGAATAAAAAATAGTAGGTCTGTTTTACTTATCAACATAGATATGACAATTTTAAATAAAGTATTATTTAAACAAACCACATCATATATAAAATATACCATAACTAACTGTGGTTTTTTTCATCCATGCAATCATTTTAACATAAAAAAAACTACCATTATATTTTACTACACTAAAAATACTGAGTAGAAAAATTATAGAATCATAGATGCAGAAAAATACATTTAATAAAGTTTAATATTAAAGACTTAGAAACTAGATGAAAACTATATACTGAAAATCTACAGCAAGTATAATGGAAAAATTTATATGGTTTCCATTAAGATTAGAAAAGTACAAGAATACTCACTATCACCACCATCGTTCAACACAGTTTTGGAGATCCAAGTTGATGATAAGAAAATTTAAAAAGCCTAAGATGTGTAAGGTTTAGAAGTGAAGAGCTATAACTCTCCATATTTACACATATTTCTATATAGAAAGCCTAAGAAAATCAACAAATTATTAGACTAAGAAAAGTTGTTGGATTAAAAACTAAACTTTAAAAAATTAACAGCACTCCTCTAAATCAACAATAACCAACTAGAAAATGTAAGAGAAAATAGTGCCACTTACAATCACAAATAAATACATACCCGTATGTATCTATACAAACATATCCATTTCTGTGTGTGGATAGACATATGTGGATATGTATATGTTTATAATTATAAATGATATAATCTTGTATGTATGTATATATTTGGATTATGTGTGTGTAGTATCTATAGAAGAAAATTTAAATAAATGGAAAGATATTCCATTTTCACAAATATTTGATGCCAGATTTTCTCCAATTAATCTATGGAATCCACACAAACTCCATCAAAATTCCCATGTGAGTATAAAGATCCATACATCAGTAGCTAAATCAATTTGTGAAGAAAAGAATAAAGAAAGAGTAAAGGTGACAGTGGTGGGCGGGTGAGTAAGAGTTACCATACAAGATATTAACATAAGCAATATCAAAGTAATAAAATCAATATGGTACCAGTATGAGAACAGACAAAACTGTGGAATAAGAATAAAAGTGAAAAATAGACTCATGTAATATCAAAACATGAGATATGATAAAGGTGCTACCACAAATCAACAGAGAAGGGACCTCTTATTTATATTGATGTTAGGAAAACTATTATATGGAAAAAAATAACATTGAACAACTGTCTCCCTTGCACCACACATAAAAATAGACTTGTGATGGTTTAAAGAACCATATGTAAAAGGTGAAGCTATAAATATTAGCATAAAATTTAGGTGAATATTTTTATAAATTAGGAATATAAAAACACTTATAAAATATGACTCTCCCCAAGGCAAGAAAATAGTTGGATTTCAGTACAATAAAATTTAGGATTTAATTTCATGAAAGATGCTGTGGAGAAATTAAAGAAAGATGAGAGAGTAGGAGATAATTGTATCATGTAAACAATATTACATTAATATTTATAATTTAGACAGTAATCAACAAAATCACCAAGAAAAATACAGGAAATGTAATAGAAAATGGACAAAGAAAATCAATAAGCATCTTGAAGCAGAAGCCTAAATACCTAAAAAAAATTTGAAGAGATGCTTAAACACACTGAATCAGGAAATCACATATTAAAACATCAGTGAGCTACCATTCTATACCCACTGGAGTAGTCAAAGTCCAAAGGTTAGATAATTCCAAGTGTTAGTGAGGCTGAAGGAGGTAGGAACTCCTATGCAGTGAAGGTGTGAGAATAACTCGTAAGTCTTAGCAGTACTTGGTGAATTTATGTATGCCTGTGCTTTATGAACCAAAACAAGTTGTATAGCACAATACCTGTGATATATGATATAGCTATAATCATATTCATGTGGGTACGTATGGTAAGAGGAAGTGAAAAATGGAATGAAAAAAAAAGCAAAATAAAACATGAAAACTTGTCCCAGCCTATGAGGATAATGTGCTACGAACTGAGAATCGAAGTTATCTTAACTCTGCTTCTAAGTTCCAATAATATATGAAGAAAAGAGAAAAAGATGCAAATTTTGTTTACTAGGAATGTTTATGATTGTTTACTAGGCATGAAGAATACTGGAATTCCATGAACACATTTGTAGGACACCTAAGTTTGAATTGGAGCTCTGCAGTTTCCTCGTTTGAGAAAACCCTTCATCATTTGTTTCTCATGATAGCCTTGTAAAAAGAGTTGAACACTTATTATTATGCCTATTTTTGATTTAAGAAAATGAAGCTCAGATCAAGTGACCTGTTTAATGCCCTGTAGATATTAACTGGTGAAACTTCTGATAGCTTTACACTCTGCTATCTTATAGCTTGAGCCATATAAAATGACTGCTAGGCAACCACTGTACCTATTGAAATGACCATTTCATACAGTTTACGCTAAAATATAAATGTGTCTCTTGTGTTAAACAATGAGAGGTTCACATAATTTACCTGCAAAAAATGAGGAAAGGAAATATAGGGAGAGAAATGCCAAAAGATGAATATTCATATTCCTGAACTATAAAATTTTGTAAAATTCAACAATGCCTAATGTAAAACTCTTATTAAATGATATATGAAAATACTGAATTCTTAGATAATGCAGGCTCCAAGTGGCTTTCTGAGAAAAGTTACCTTAATTAAGGACCAGAAAGGAATCCAAATAAAGAAAATGATTCTTGTACCTTAGGAGAACCATATATCCAGGTATGGCAGATAGAGAATAAATGAAACTGCCAATTGCTGACAAGATTAAAAAGTACTGGAGCATCATGGAACAGTCATGTCCTTTGTCACACAGCCCAAGAACTGCAGATGAATTTCCTGATGTTTGAATGCAGCTACAATTTTGGAACACCTGTGTGAAAATAATATATTATCCTATTTAAGAAAGTAAAATTTTGAACACAAATCACAGATATTTTCTACATAGCCAACTGGATCAAGATGGAGACTATTTATTCCCTTTACTCTCATCTCTATTATGATGCCTCTCAGGATTATAGCATAAAACAAAACATGGAAGGATGGTTTTAGTAAAAAGGCATTTCTTTCTAAATATGTGGAGTAAATTTGCAATAGCTCAGCTATTCTAAAGTCATGTCTTTTAAAAACATACACTGTTTTGTTACAACAGGAAGTATGACAAAATTTGTTTCAGAATACTCAGTGGAAATATTTAGATTCTTATGACTAAAGCTTTGTTTCAAAAAATATAGTTCATTTCAAAAACAGAGTATATTCTATCCTTTAAAAATTCTTGTATGTTTCCAGGTTTTCATAAGAATCAAAATTTATATTTTACTTTATTACCAACCAACATTTTAAATATTATAACATTTTTTTAGGCACACACATACACAAAAAGCCTAATTCCATTTTCTTAAAAAGCTGTCAGAATGTGAAAAATACAGAAAAGAAAAAAATGGCAAAGCAATTAGCTGGATAATTGAGATCAAAACCACCAACTTCATCTCAATGATAAAAATATTTCAGTCCAGAGTATTTTTAAAATGAATTATCTGCAAATGGCAAGATTTCATTCCTTTTGGTGGCTGCATAATATTCCATTGTGTGTGTGTGTGTGTGTGTGTGTGTATTTTAAAAATACTCTGGACTGAAATATATATATATATATATGCCAGATCTTCTTTATCCATTCATCTGTCGATGAACACCTGGTTCTTTCCATAGTTTGGCTATTGTGGACATTGCTGCTATAAACATCAGGGTGCACATACCCCTTCAGATCACTACATTTGTATCTTTGGGGTAAATACCCAGGAGTGCAATTGCTGGGTTGTATGGTAGCTCTATTTTCAACTTTTTGAGGAACCTCCATACTGTTTTCCAGAGTGGCTGCACCAGCTTGCATTCCCACCAACAGTGTAGGAGGGTTATAAGTCAGTCAGAGAAAAACAAGTATCATATGATCTCGCTGATATGAGGAATTCTTAATCTCAGGAAACAAACTGAGGGTTGCTGGAGTGGTGGGGGGTGGGAGGCCATGGCTGGGTGATAGACATTGGGGAGGGTATGTGCTATGGTGAGCGCTGTGAATCGTGTGAGACTGTTGAATCACAGACCTGTACCTCTGAAACAAATAATACATTATATGTTAAAAAAAAATAAAAAGAAGATAGTAGGAAGGGAAAAATGAAGGGGGGGAAATTGGAGGGCAGATGAACCATGAGAGACTATGGACTCTGAGAAACAAACTGAGGGTTCTAGAGGGGAGGAGGTAGGGGGGATGGGTTAGCCTGGTGATGGGTATTAAAGAGGGCATGTACTGAATGGAACACTGGGTGTTATACGCAAACAATGAATCATGGAACACTACATCAAAAACTAATGATGTATGGTGATTAATATAACATAATAAAATTTAAAAAATGCAAAAAAAAGAATCTGAGTAATGACGTCACTGCTATGAAATTAAAGATCAGTGATCAATGTCTACTATACTCAAATAAAAAAATTAATTAAAGAAAATGATTAGTGGTCAGACACTGTGGAGGTTTAAAATAAGATTTATGAAATAAAAGGCAAATCAACGGAACATACAGAAAGACATTAATTTTACTTTTATCAAATGTGGAGCCAGTTCATGTTGGAAAGTTCCAGTGGAATGCATAAAACCAAAGTTCTGTAAAAAGACCAATAGAATATGTTACCATATTTATTCCTGTTCCAACAGATGTCTCACAGCCAGCAAGACAAGCTGACATATATGACACACCATTGTTTCCACACACAGGGTCCCATGTGTTAGTTGGACAGTTGCAATCCCTGTTACAATCAGCAAGGATGGTATTTCCCACATATAGATCTTGTTGCATTCTGAAATGATTTAAAATAATGCATGGATATTGAAAGACTATTAGAGCATTTTCTTTTTCCTCTTTTCATCTTAATCCAAAATTATATTTCCTCTTCTCCCCAAAGTAGAAACAGAAATCTTCTCAACATCGATGTGTGACCTCAGTACTAAGCTCTGGCATAAAAAAAAAAAACCTGCTTTGGTGACACATAGCCACTTTTCAATGATTTACTTCAGGTAAACAAATAGCCAATAAACAGGCATTAACTGAGTGCCTTCCATATAGAGGGTGTTTTTTTCAGGTATTATTAGAACTCAAAAATGAAGATGACCTAATCCCTATGGTTAATCCATATGGTAGTAAGTAACAAGAGATCTTATGTTTGAAAGCAACCTTGAAGATCAAAATCTGTAAGTTCAATTTGTAATGCAGATAGTACATTTAACTTTAGAAACCTAACTACTTGAGTAAACAAATACATTCTCCTAGTGTAAAGAATGTCCAGTGGTCAACAAAATGGCAACATAGGTGTTCTTGACCAGGCTCCCTCCCAAGAAGACCAATTAGCAGCTATCCATAGATATGATACCATTGTGAAAATCCCAGAACCTGAGGGTGAGGCTAAAGCACCCCCTTGGACCATGAAGACCTAGAAAGACCACATTAGAAGGGTACAAGGAGTAGTTACACTCTAATCAAATTGCCCCAACCCCAGGTCAGCATAACACCACACTGAGAGGGCCCTCCTGGGCCTACAATTTTGCCAGTGGGAAAGAGAGCCCAAGGTTGACATCAAGCTCCCTCAGCATTGTGGGTTGTTTCCCAGGAGGTCCATTCAGGTCTCACCTCATGAGGATCACTGGGAGAATCTGCAGGCCTCACTCATTAAGAATTAGATAGAGAAGGAGAAGGGGGGCAGGGATTACAGCAACCAGCACTCAGATCTTGGTGGACTGTGTTCTTACTTGCAGCATTGTCCAAGTGCAAACCCCAGCCTGTGGTTCTGCCCATTTACAGAGCTGAATGATGACTTCCTTTTGCCAAGCTCAGTTGGCACTTCTGCTTGATTTGGGTACCTAGTCAACAGGCCATACTGGTTGTGGAGACAGTTCAACTGCCCCATCTGGGCAGGGAAGCAAATTCACAGTCCTGCCTAACTACTGAGCATAGCCTCCAGTCCCACCCATCCAGAAAGCCTGGCCAGAGAACCTAAGCCATAGAGTCCATCCTATAGCCCTGCTCAGTCTGGGAGCCAAGCTAATAGCCCTGCCCTACTGTTAAGCATAATCTCTGGCCCCCACATAAACAAGGAGCCTGAACAGCAACCCTGGGCAGCCTCAGAGCCCAGACTACAGCACCACCCAGCAGCAGAGCCCAGCCTTTGGCCCTACCCAATTGCTGAACATAGCCTGAAGCCTTGCTCGGGCAGGGAACCTAGTCAGTGTCTCTGCCCAATCTTGGAGCAGAGCGTGCAGCCTCACCTGATGAGAGAATGTGGACAGCGATCCTGCCCAACCGGAGGACGCAGTTTCTAGCACCACCTAACTCTAGGATACAACTAGAGGCCTCTCTCCTCCAGAGAGCCTGGCCAGCAACCTTGCCCAACAGTAGAGCATGGTCAGCACCTTGTGAAGCTCAGCCTCAACAAAACATTAGCAGAGAAATTAAGAAAACAATCCAATAATTGCATCAAAAGAATAAATACTTAAGGAATAAATTAAACCAAGGATGTGAGAATCTGCACACTGAAAACTTTTAAGACATTGATGACAGAAACTGAGGAAGACACCAATAAATAGAAAGGTATTCCATGCTCATGGATTGGAAGAATTAATATTGCTAAAAAGTCCATACTACCTAAAACAATCTGCAGATTTAGTGCAATCCCTAAACAGATTCTAGTGGCATTTTTCATAAACGTAGAAAAACAATTCTAAAATTTTTATGGATCCACAAAAAAGTAGCCAAAGCAATCTTGAGAAAGAAGAACAAAGCTGGAGGTATCCCACTTCCTGATTTCAAACTATTTTACAAAGCTATAGTAATCAAAACGGTATGGTATTAGCATAAAAAAGAGTCACAAAGATTATGGAACAGAATAGAGAACCCATAAATAAACCATGCATATGTAGTTAATTATAACAAGCAAACCAAGAATTTACTGAGGAGAAAGGATACTCTCTTCATAAGTGATATTGGGAACCTGGACAGCCACATGCAAAAGTGTGAAACTAGACCCCTATCTATCTAAAAATAAACTCAAATGGATTAAAGCCTTAAATTTAAGACCTAGAAGAAAATATAGTGGGTAAACTCCTTGACATCAGTCTTGGCAATGATTTTTTGGATTGGACACCAAAAAGCACAAGTAACAAAAGCAAAAATAAACAAGTGGAACTACATCAACTAAAAAGCTTCCAGACAGCAAGGGAAACCAGGAACAAAATGAAAAGACACCCTGTGGAATGCGAGTAAATATTTGCAAATCATACATCTGATAAAGGGTTAATATCCAAAATATATTTTAAAAAACTAATAAAACTCAATAGCAAAAAAGCAAACAATCTGATTTTAAAATGGACAGAGGATCGCTTCTCAGCCTTTTTGCTAAGACCCAGTGTTAAAATGGGCGGAGGAACTTAATAGAAAATTTTCCCAAGAAGATATACAAATGGCCAACAAGTAAATGAAAGGATGTTCAATATCACCAATCATCAGAGAAAGAAAATCAAAGCCACAAGATATCATCTCACATCTGTTAGGATGTATATTATCAAAAGTCAAGAGAAAACATTACTATGCATAACTTTCCTATAAATTCGGATAACCCTCAAATACAAACCCAAAACTATTCAATGATAGAGACCTACTTAGACAAATGAAATGTATGAATTTACATATGAATTAATACATCATGTATTAGGATTCAGTTATGCTGGATGTAAGCCCATTGTGGAAACATAAAGGTGATTGAGACTATATAGTTAATTCTTAATTTTACCCATTTATGAAAGTATAAAATATATGGATCACATATCCTAATACAACCTAAAAAACTATCAGTAGTTTCTTTGATATCAACTTTAATATCTACTAGGATATCAAAAAGACACACACACACATACACATGTGCAGTCATAAACTCACTAACCCTATAACATGTTCCCAGGCTCTTTAATAAGCCTAGAGCCTGGAGGGATAGGCTTACAATTGACAGATGGAGGAAAGATAAAGACCATGGATTATTGTTATTAATTCCAATTAGCTAATGATCTGGTCATGGGTAATCATTGAATAAAATATATTATTAACTGTTCTAAAAGTATGACGTTCATTAGAAAACAACATACCCTTTATAAGTGGTAGTTATGCCAGCAACTGAAGAATTATCACAGATCATGAGAAAACACAAAAAATGAAGAAGATATTCAATTAAAGATAACCAACATCCTATGTGGGCAGCTTGTTTGACAGTAATCTTGAACTTCTTCATAATTAAACCACCAGCTATATATCCAATGCATATTGGAGGCAAGTTATAAATGCCTATAAATGTAAGTGAAATGTTGTTTACAAAGTGACTTAGCAAAAGAACAAATAAGATATCACTTTTATCTAATATGTCTTGAAACCATTTAGGTCCAACTCACAGTGAAGAAAGCTGATTGAATTTTATCTCCATTTAGTTACATATTATGTACAGAGAGATTTTTAAATGACCCACAATGTCAGAGTATATTTTGAAGACTGTTATCACTATCCTTCATTTAATTAATTATAGTAGGTTGTAAATTTCTTGTATTCAGGGATCATGATCTACATTTCTTTCGAATGGTTCAGGTAGGACTGACAAGTCAAAGTTGACCAGTAGTTTGTGAGTAATATGATTTTGCAGTTGTTTATACCCTCTCTAGTCGTTAAGAATTTGACTTAGCTCAAGGTACTTTGGAAGGTCACTTTGCTGAACCCGGGGTTGTCAAGTATATTTACACTTTGTGTCCCTCTCCCTAAAAAAAAGGGAAAAAATCAAGAAAAAGGAAAAGACAGCCCGTGGTTGCATTCTTAAAATACCAGGGTAAGTGAATCCCATCACATTTTCTTGGGAGAGTGGTTAAAAGTCCATTCCAAAATCCCACACCAGATTGTCTAATTTAGTACGTCTTAGGTGCGCACCAGGTATCTGAAATTTTAACAAGCATTCTAGGTGATGTGGATGCAGGTAGTCTGGGAAATTCACTTTTCAAAACAGTAAAAAGCTCTCAGGAGAAACCCAAAGTGGAAGAGAGCCACTGGAGTTAATGGGGTCACAGGAAAATCAGAATGCGTGAGCTGCAAAGACACCTCAAACCACCAGGGGGCCCAGGGAACTAAGGAGAGACATGGAATTCATATCCTGGAGTTAAAAGAGTAAAACTCAGACTCCTAATGAATTAACATTGTTTTCCTTTTTACATTAATTGTTTGCCTCCCTGAAAATTATCTCTAATCTGTACATTCCCTAAGATTTCCAAAAATATTTTGAATTTGTATTCTGACCGGCAAGAGAGCATAAAAGAAAGCCAGGCTTTCCTGGCTTCTTTCCTTCCCTACCGTTTGTGGATTTCCCTGGAGAATGGAAGGGGGAAATGTACCAGGGACAGAAACATCTCCACATATTTCAATTTAGGAGTTTCCTAGACCCATCATCACACTGTTTACCTTTCATGGTTAAAAAAAAAAAGTGAGCTACTAACATAGAGAAGAATAAACATACCGATTAGAAAGATTGCATCTGAAGCTGATTTTCCATATTGCTGTTCCAGATATTTAGGCATGAAGGTGAACATATTAACAAATGCATTGAACTGTACAATGCTTATTAGTATGAAAAGCATGTAAATTGGGTTGCATAAAAGACTTTTCATGAACGGTAAAAAATCTGAAATGAAAGAATGACAATAGTGTTAAATTAGCTTGGCTTTGCATTTTAAGATTGACTTTTTCTAAAACATCAACCTCCCCTCCCAAATTAAGATTTTTGCTTATAGTGTACATACTGGGTTTTGCTTTGCTTTATTTTGTTTTGTTACCTCTTGAAAACTAAAGTTATATCATTTTGGTACCCTCTGCAACTCAGTAATGCAGCTGACTGGGCAGGGAGCAGAACATAAGTTTTACCATCACTAAGTTGTTATTATGTCTTAAGGAAAAACTATAACATGACCAAAATATTGTCTGCATTCACACCAGTTCCTTTTTTTCCCTTCTATTAGTAACCTCTCTTTTCTAGAGATCATCTAGACTGAAAGATGCTTGTTCTGTTTTTTAAAGTTTGGAAGGAGATCAACTTGATAAAGTTCACACTCAAATATTGATATTATTGTTCCTGACCATTTAAAATATGTGGAAATTCATGGGATATAATTTTCTCAAGTCCTGGGTATTTTTCTACTTCCTCAGAACAACCGTTTCGTCCTGTCAATGGTTCACACTGGATACACGATGAAACCACCTGGAGATCTTTTAAAATACAAACCCCCAGGTTCCACTCTCTGAGATTTTGATTCATTTGGTACATACTAAGGGTTATGTAAATGATATAACCCCAACTTTCCCCTGTTGGTGTGGACTGACACAGCTTAGGGCCAAATTTGTGGCCCATCTCTTGGAAATGTTCCAAGGTCACCCTGCCACCATTTTAGGGTCAAAGTCTCACTTATAATTAGTTTTCACTTTTCCTATCTTCACATTGTTTGTCTTGATTTCCTTACTTATTGTGTATTTTTTGCTCAATAAGCTGCCTGAAATCCAAAGAATCAACAAATAAACAAATTGAGAGAGAGAAGGAAGCATAGCTTAATGCAAAGAAACCTATTTTAAGTTGTAGAATTCATATTTATGAATAAAGTACATGGCAGGGAGAAAGTTGTGTTCAGAGCACTTTGGAGCTTTTTAAATTGTCCATGTTTGTTGACATCTCTGTCCTAATAGATGAGTCTCAGCAGTTCAAATCTCTTTTCTATATGTCTCATACTAAGCTCAGTTCTTTCCCCAACTGATCTTTGCAGATCACAAACAATATTCTGTGTTAAAATCTTCTATTAGTCCATATCAGCCTTTCCAAAGGAATTGTTAATATAATCATGACCACTCTGGAATTTGAAAGGTTCTGAATTGGCTTCTAATGATCTGAGAAGTACTATGTTTAATAGTAGTTTAAGTGAATGTGTAATTGGTAATAAAAATTCTGTGCAAACTGGTCTTATAATTTATGGGTGTTGGTAGAAGTAGCAACATCAACAATAATAACACTAATACTAATAGCAGTAATAATAGTAATATGTTCCAGACCTCCTTTTACCCTCAACAACTCTGTAATAGTAAGTACTGTTATTACCCCATTTTACAGATAAGGAGACTGAGTCCCTCTTTACCTTGTAAATGAACAATCTTTAAGAATTCCAAGGCCCAGGCCATACCTTGTACTAATTAAATCAGACCTCCTGGGAATACTACAGTATTTCTGGGCATCAGTCATTTTTTTAAATTTCCCAGGTAATTCCAACATATGGACAAGTTTGAGAATCAGTGTTCTTGAACATTAAATACTTAGACTACTTTAGCTTAGTTTCCCATAGAAACACTTTCTGTAAATTATTCTTTGAACTTTTATTGAAGATGTATCCAAAAAGGAAAAAAAAATTCCTGTTCTATAAAATATGCATTTGCACTTGCTGGAAAACTACTACGTGGTTCAATATTGCCTGCATTATACATCATATGATGAGTTTTTCTTTTTTTACAGCGTGTTACTTGGAGAAAACTTTCTCTTTACGAATTTTTATTCTTCTCTTTATCAAATATAGAGAGTTATGTGACCTATCGTGTTTTCTTTTCCTGCCTTAACTTGCAGGAAGCTCACAGTCAAGCTAACATTTTTTTATTTCAGAACTATATATTTACTTGCAATAGTGTATATTTTTTCCTCCTTTTGTTCTCAGTTTGAATTTCTTTTTTTTTAATTAGACCTATGTTGTCTAATAAAAAAGATCTTTTAAAAGCAAATGGGAATTTATTTAGTGTCTGAATTGAAATAAAATTTTATATACATACTGATTACAGATAATTTGGCTTCCAAATTATATTACTTATTTCCAAGTAGTAGCACAGGAAGACTCAGACTTGTTAGACATTATTGACTACTGACTGTTAATGACAAATTGTCTTAATGAACCCTAGCGTGATATAGTGTTAGAATGAAATATAGACACATCTCTAAAAAACAAAAAGTAAATTATATAGTATTTAGAATTTTTATATTTGCCTTTAGTGATTCCATCCTTTTCCTTCTTGACCTCTTCTCTTTGTTTCTCTTTTTTGTCATTTTTAATGATGTCTGCATTATTCTTTAGTCCTTCCTTTGGAAGCGTTTTGGGCAAAAAGAAAAAAGGAATGGCAGTGAGCACATTCACTCCTGCACAAATCAAAAAGCCAAACCACCATGCACCAACCCAACGAGTATCAGTGGGAGTTATGGTCAGATCATCTGTAAAGAAATATACACATTTTATTAGCTGGTCACGAGTTCCTGCATGAACTATAGAAAATTATTAATATTACTATTATATTATTAATAAAACCAGTTCTCAGGTTTTATCCAAGTACAGACCTTGTAAACAATTTAGACATTCATAAAATTTGTCTGATGATATGTGGTATTACAATATTGCCTAGCAATAAATTATTTTGGGTCTCTGTCCTCTCCTGTAGGGAATTTATAAACAGATATTTATGAAATGACTACAAGCTCTATTTAACTACATATAAATGATTATTTGATTAAAAGAAATTCAGACCTATGTTGTCTTTATATCTCTTGAAAAAAGGAAACATGGTTGTGGCACAATAGAACACCGGATTTTGTGTCAGAAGGGCAGCATTTTAACTTGTTTCTTGCTCACTGGTTTCAAATGTTCGAAAAATTATTTAAACTCCTTTACCCCAGTTTGCACACCTGAAAAGTAGAATTAGTCAACTCACCGAGTTGACCCACTAAAGCAAGAACTACCTGTGATAACATAACTGAAAGTGATTTGTATATTCTAGACCTATAAGTAAATTTTATTGAATTACCTGTGTTCACAGATCCAGTGTCAACATAAACATTTGCACAGAATGATGCTAACAAAAGTCCAATCAAAGGACCAATGATAGCTCCTGTTTCTACAAACCCTAAAAATAAATGAAAATATAAAGTTATAGTATAGTTATATACCCACATAAAGAGTCCTAATTCCATAAAGAGTCTGAAGACTGCATTGTTTTTGCCTCAGATATGTTTGCCTTAAACTTTCAATTTGTAAGAAAATTAAGCTTTGTGTACATATAAGTAACAAGTTTACTTCTGTTAATGTGGAGAAAAAGAACCTCAAAATTTAAAACCACTTTCTCTAGGCCTCCAAATTCTCTTGCATGATAAATCGCAGGTAAATCTGTTGTAGCAGCGTAGGCTGGGATCATGCTGTTGACAAAACCACAACACAGAGTGAAATTCTTTTGCTGCTTTCCATAGGCACATTTTTGGAGGAATTCTAGACCAACACCACATTACAATAAATTTCTCGTGGCATGTTCCTCAGAAAGCTTTCACTCCCACATTTCTGATTTGAAACATCTTCTGGCTATGTCCTCACCATTACTGTTACTTCTCTTCTTTCATCATGATCTCCTTTCTTATCCTTCACATTCTTGTCTTCCATTCTCATCAGTCCCCTCTGCCCTCAAGACTTCTTACTCATCTGGAATTTCATCATCAGTGAGCTCATGGCTTATCTACAATTCAGAATCGAGGCTGAGCCTTCCCCACTGCTGAAAACTCAGACAGCTTCTCCAGTTTCTTCAACTTGTTCCTCCTTACTTCAAAATATGTCTTCTACCTTCTCCATGGTTCCGTAGGCTAGCCCCCTCCTGTACACAGACCTGACTTCTAGACCTCAACCCTTCTATCTTCTCTGAGGTCTTGCTCAACTGAACATGCCTTTTTTTGTGTTGGTTCAGTCTCCCCTATTCACTGATTACAGTATCTCACATCCACCCTGCTTTCTTTCCTTTCATTAGACTCTGCATTTACTCCCTCACCACTTCCTGAATCTACTCAAATCCTTCCACATTCTTCTCAAAATACTTGCAGGTAGCACCAGTGTTCTTTTTGCCACTTATTTGGTGTCCTTTTCTGGTCTCCATTCTCCTAACTCTTTATGTTATTTGACATTGCAGGCTAGCTCCTCTTTTGAATTTTCCTCCTAATACTCTCGCAAAACTATGCACTTATTGTTTACTTTTTCCCTTGTGACTACTCCTTTGATTTTCTTCTTCCTATTCTGCTCAATAACTAAAAGTGTTCCCTAGTGTTTTAACCTAGGATTTCTCACTATATATGGCTTCCCATGACAAAACTCACTTTTCTCCCTCAATTTCATTTATTTTCTCTATATTAGTGATTCTCAAAATTCATTTCTAGCTTTTATATTCTCTCCTAAACTTCAAAGCCATACATGGAACTATTTTCTTCCATGGTATAGCTTATTGATTTATAGTTATTTAATTATATGCATGTGCACATTTATTTCATTTTCTTAAGTCTAATTTTTTTCAAATTTAATTACACACAGGTATTTATCAGATTTGGTTGATTTATAATTATGTAGTTATTTATATGCTAAACCTTATATGGACTATGTCTTATTCATCTTAGTACATGTAGAGATTACTACTATTATTTCCATATAGTATACGCCCTAGTATTTATTGAATAAAGAAATACAGATTATAACAAGGTGTTTGTTAATTTATTGCAGGCAAGCATTTGTATTCTTTCAAGATAAGTACGTAAGGGATTTGGAAGGACAGAAAAGAAAAACATTGCAAAATCTTATTGTAAAATCAATGAGTGATCAAAAAGTGCCAAAGATTACTTGGGGTAAGGATCTCTAAATATTTTGACCTATCTTCGTTATGTGTAGCTCTGTTCCGATCCTCTTTCACCCTCTTTGACATTTCTGGTTCTTAAAATATTTGTCTACATTAATAGCAAAATGTCTCCAGACTAAAAGTTACACTTTTGTAAATAACAACAGATGGAACAACTAAAGAATACAAATAAGTTATTCATAACAAATTAAGAACATTTAGGAGATTGGAAGACAACATAAGAAGGTAGATCTTATTTTGGTTATTGTGGGAGGTGACACTGATGGATTTTAGAAAAGGAAATTTCAAGAAACATTCCCAAAAGTATGAACCAGATATTTGTGAAGAATCTGAAAAAGCCTGATTAGCATGGAGAGATTGTGAAGAAACTAAATAGACTGAGTAATAAGTGGAGAGGTCAAATTTAGTAAAGAAAGAGCCAGTATGTTTTATAGACATGGTAGAGAAGACATGATTCAAACAATATTTGAGAAAAAATATACTGTAAAAATGTTTATAAGAAATTGAAAGAAAATGCTAGTGGCTAATGAAGATGTTATAATAATCTACAGATGAAGTAGACCCAAACAAAAATAGAGGTAATGAAAATAGAAAGATTTTGAATATGAGACATTTTAAAGAAAACATTGTTAAATCACTTAACAGACTTGATATAGAGTGGTGCCAAAGAAATGGATGAGTCAAAGAGAACTCTGGGGGCAACTAGATGAGTGGTATTTTTAATAGCAAAAAGCAGAGTCAGAAAAGTGGCTTATTTGGAGTTAGCTCAATTCAGTAAACTTTTATTGATTACCAGCTGTGCCAAGGTAGTCTGGTCATCATTCTGGAAATCACTGAGTCCGAGTAACTGACATCTACCTGTAAGGAACTTCCTTTCCTGAGAAGAGGCTAAGGCAGATTTTCAAACTCACCAATATATAATGGAGAGTTTTCAGATTTGGCAAAATCTTCTATGTAGGAAATACCCAAAGGCATGATGGGAGTTTCACCAATCCCACGTATGATATTTCCTACTAGTACATATACCCACATTAATGATTTAACTTTTTTCACACAGTCTGTATTTAAAGAAGAAAAAAGATATTGTATTAGTGATTTGGTAGTAAAGTATCAGTAATACTTAATTCTACATTTTTGGTAAACATTTCACAGTTCTTATGTGACATGGCATCTTGTCAATGATTTATACTACTATGTCAGCAATGTATCATTGGACATTCCCATTTGCATTTTCTGACAGGGTACTTAGGTATGGTCAAATGTAAGTGATATCCTGGAGCCAATTCCTACTGGGTTGGGATAGATGAATAGTATACACATCTCTTTTCAATTTAGTATTTAATGGCAACCCATTGGTAGTTTGATGACAGTATTTACGCACAGAAATTGACAAACACTAAAAGCCAGAACTTTTTTCCCCCCAGAGAGATAGTTTATCATCAACTACCGAAGCCAGTTAGCTGCTGTGAGAGCTACCCTACTTCTACACTAACTTAGGGAAGAGAAAAAAAACCCACAAATATCTCTCCCTAGAACTGATACTGTAAGATTTAAATAAGAATCTCACTGAAGTTTGAGTTCTCTATAGCTCTAATTACTTTATAGAAACTAAAAATATTTAACTGGGTAGTAATCACATTTTCTCTGTAGAACCTACTGTATACTGTAACCACCAAATAATTTTTAACAGAGAAACCCACCCCAATCCTTGGAGCAGCACTGCTTAGTAAAATAACAAAGAGTAGGCCAAGAGAATGAAAGGGAGGAAGATAGGCAGTTGTCTAAAAACAGCCAATTCTGTTCTAAGCCAATATAACTATCAAGCCAGGAGGATACTCTGTGGGGTCATGTTTTCAGGAAAGTGAATGACAACTTATTTTTGTGTCCTATAATCTGCCCAGGTACTCACAGATGTGAGGCTCCTGAGCACAGCTGGGCCTGGAAATATCTTGTGAGGTTTATCTCTCAGTCTTTCCCAGTCCAGAAAATCATAATGTCCATTTCTGGGTATTCATGTGTTGTTTTTTTTTGTTGTTGTTGTTGTTGTTGTTTTATGGTGAGCGCAGTGATTTGTGTCTAGAGATCATAGGCAAATTCTAGGCCTACTCCAGGACAAAATTTAACATGTCAGGTGATCAAAGAATTAATGTACTTTTCTGGAGATTCACTAGACTGGAAAGGTTTTGATTTAAATATTACAATGCATATTTAAAAAAAAATAGAAAATAAGACCTAGGTCAGTCTTTGGCAAAAGTCAGTTTAAGAAGAGAATATAGGCCACCATTGATGTCACTGGTTTTTTTTTGTTTGTTTGTTTCTTTCTTTCTTTCTTTCCCCAGGGAGTTGCTTTGGCTTAGAGTTTCTGAGACAGCTATTCTTACACTCCTTGAAGCTGTTTAGTTTCCTCTGATTCCATGCCAGCAGTGAAATTCCCAGCCTTGGGGACCAATGTAACCCCCACTGATATGAATCCAGCATAAAAATGTCCCCATCACAGGAAAAGAAAGTTCTGGTCTGAGGTCAATCAATGGGTTACTTCCAGACTAAGCATCCAGTCTGAGGTCAATCAATGGGTTACTTCCAGACTAAGCATCTGGTCTGAGGTCAATCAATGGGTTACTTCCAGACTAAGCATCACCAGAAGATTATATAGGAGGTCCCTTAACATATGAAGGAGTAGAAGCTGGCATGTTGGTGCCTGGGCCTGCAGAAAGCCAGAAGAAGCACCACTATTTTGTCAGACTATAAATTAGTATCTCTGGTAAAGAGGAAGAAGTAGGGCAGAAAGACAAGTTCCTACTTCAGCAGAAAGAGAATAGAGTAAATCAAGGTTATAGCATACTTGCCTGCTTTCTCTGCTATAGAGGATCAGGGCTATAATGCACATCTTTTTGTTTTTATTTCTCTTACTCATTTACAAATCATCAGCCTAAATCCATCTTTCTAAGATGTTTTCCTCTATGGAATTAACTATAAATCGTCCTTGGATGGATGTTGTTGACTTATTTTTAAATAACCATTGCAAAAATAAATAAATAAATAACCATTACAAAGAACAGATAAGACATTAAGTATATTCAAATATAAGAGGACTAACATTTAAATTATGAGCCCTTTCTATTTCCCTCCATGATCTCCTCCAAAATCTCTGAAAAAAAAATAAAATTTCTTTTGTTCATTTACCTTACTCACTTAACCAAACTTAATAACATTCAAAGCCCCTCAGCAGAAAGTGTTCAGTTACAAATTCACTGAACAGAAAGCAATACAATGAAGTAGACAACCTGATGGATCTTCTGTTGGTCTGAAAATCTGGGTTCCATTTTCCATACACAAGAAACTGTTTGAGGACAAATTGCCTGAAACTGAAACTGTAGATTCATATTCATATCTGTATGAACACAGGGAAAACATGGTGATGTTAAGGAGCCAATGAAGACAACGTGAGCATTGTGCAGATTAACAACTCCTGCTTCACATAAGACACAACATCCAAATCCAGGAAAGATTTCATTTTGCCACCTAATCATCATAAATTAATATCACTGAAAAGAACTTGCCACTCACTGTCAACGTACAATCACTTGACAGATAGCTTTCAATTATCTGTAGGGGATGATATACCTTTTAAATTATCTGGCATCAACCTTCAGTGATTTTTAGGTGATCATTTCCTGGAAATAATTACTGTGGGATAAGGAACAAAAACCAAGAAAAATAATAGACTCAACAAAGTGTAATTAAAGGCTTTAGGGGGAAAAACAACACAACAAAAAAAGTCTCCCACTTTCTGAGAATCCAAACAATAATTCCTTCACGTGTTCATTAATGCCCTCAGAGAAACAAAACATGTACCCATCTCTCAAACACTGTGGCGGCACAATGTAATGCCTTTTTCTCTTCTCATGAGAACAAAAGTGTTAATAAACTGTGACCATGTATCTTAGGCAAATTACCACAAGATCCACATGCCCTTTCTCAGAAAGAAAATTACTTGCTGCAACAATGGAGGAAAATATGTCCAGCTCTCTTTGTTAGAAATTGCACTGGGTTGGTTTCTATATTTCTATTAGAGAATGCCAAAGAAAACTTGCCTTTCTGAGTTTCAAATGAGCTAAAGAGTGTTATGCTTGGATGTCACCAATAGTCCTAATTACTATGTTACAGAACATAATAAAAAGGGTTAAAATACCTTCCCCTTAGAATAACTGCCCAGTCATACCCATAGAATTTGGCTGTGAATCATGGACAAAGGCTTCTGTCTCCACACCCATGATCCCTTGAGACATGGAAGCTTCAGACAAAAAAAAAAAAAAAAAGAAAGAAAAGAATAATACCTTTCGCAGAGTGTAGAAAGAAGTGAAAATAATAGCTGAATATTACCTGACATTGTCTTGGATAGGATGGGATAGGATAGGAAAGGAAATAAAAGAACAATAGAAATTCTTTGCCTTGAAACCTCTGATCCCTTCAGAAATATCTGAAAGTTAAAATATCTTTTTCATTTAAATTACCTACTTAAAACCCAATAACTCATTCCATGTCCATTCATTCCCCAAACATCAGCAAAATGGTAATAAATGGATTTTAAAATAGAAAAGGAAAGGCATAATGTCATGTGGATAAAGAGAAGGGAAGATGTGACAAAAAGAGGGAGTTTAATAGGATTTTGAAAATGGAAAAGGAGTTGAGTGATCACTGAATTTGTAGATATGAGAAACACAGCCCTGAGTAAGTGCCTGTAGGAGAGCAACTAAACACATGCCACACAAACCTAGAAAACTTCAGGCAAGAAACAAGATACTTCTAAAGTGAGAGTATGCATAGTCCCAAAAGAAGATTGCTTTAAAGTGTGTATAAAGAGCAGTTAAGCCCTTATAGACATCCTCTGCCATTGCAACTGAATGTGGCCTTTGCTCTAGAGACTAAATAGACACTGAGGATAGGGAAGCCATACTAAAAACTGCAGATATTAGGCTAAAAAAAATCAACATACCAAAAAATGAGATTCCCACTCCTATGTGCTGATAGTTTATGGGCAGTTCTGAGCCACCTAAAAAATAACCAGTCGCTGTACAAATCACCCTATAAAGAAGTCCTCCGTTAATTAAGACATACACACAGAGAGAACTTCCAGTTAGCTTGTTGTTGTTATTCCTCTCTCTTAAATATGAATAGATAACCAAGAACCACCAGATATATGGGAAAAGCCTGTAATAGTAAAGATAGAGACAAAACAAATAAAAACTGTACATTCAGAGAAAACAGAGAATGAAGAGAGATGAAGAAAATTTAGATGGAAAAAGACATTGCATTCTTGAAAGAAGAACAAAATGTTCCTTAAAAAGATACATTCAAAGAACAAAAGAGTCATTGGAAAATTCCCAAGGATAATGGTGAGGGAAAATTTCAAGGAAGGAGCCATGCACCAAGCCTAGGGAGATTCCAGTTCAGATTTCAGACAGAGGATTGATGGTGACATAGAGGTATCTCTAAGACAAAAATGAAACCCTGTGACATGTATGAGCATTTTGAGATGTTGCCCTATCAGTGGAGAGTTTGGTGATGATTAGTGAGAGATAAAAAGAAAATGACTCAAATAAAAAGGGAACAATTATTAAATCCAGGGAAAATAAAGATGATATAAGAAAGGAATGACAGTATGGTTCAGCAGTGAAAGATACTTACATAGTCATACACATGGAAATAGTGAATATAATTTTATAGCAGAAAATCAATATATATTACATAACACAAAAGTATTAACAACTAAAAGGATGAACATTTACTTAGAACCATGGAGGCAAATAGCAGAAGAAAGAACTAAAAGAGTTGCAAGTAGCTACTCCAGGAAAGCAGTAGCATGGACAATGTTGAAGGGGCAGGGGACAAATTTTTTCAATATAATTTTAATTTTACCAGTTGGTGCACATATTACTTTGGTAAAATTAAAGTAAAAATCAACCCTCAGACTGACCTGTCTCTTAGTGACCTACATACAAGTAAACAGAACCTCATTGTAATTAGAAGTGTCTAAATAGTCCCCGGAAAAGAATAAGCCCACATTTTGCCAGGTCCTAAAAATTTTCATCAGACTCCATTCCATAAAATCCCAAATCTCTGTTTCATAGGTGGAAAAAATGTGACTATGTAAGTGAAGCAAGGCAGCCCAGAGCACAAGAGACTGGTGGAACGGAATCTGCATCTTTCAGCTCCCATTGCAGTGCTCTGTGCTTTTAGGAAGTATTGCTCCTAGAAAGGAAATGTCAAGTTTCATTCCATACAATCAAAAGTTGAGCTTAAAAAGTCATCAGAAACTGGAATACTTACCGGTCCATGAGGAAATGAGGTAGAGATTGTAAGAAACACCCTACGCCCATAACCACACATCCGACACCAATCAGTATAGGTCTATGTAATTGGGTTCCAAAATAACTCACAAATATAATCAACAAAAGATTTCCTAGGAAAAAATTGAGATGAAAAAAATGAATATTTCAATAAGAATGAACAATAGCTTAGCTTCATCCAATCATTTACTATCTGGCATTTATTGTATAAAAGCTATCTCGAATACCAGGACTGGTGCTAGGGATGCATGAAGCAATAAATGAATAAGACACAACTCATGCCTTGAAGAAGGACTCTGTTTCACAAGGTTGGCAAATATGTAAACAGATCTCTGTGGTACACCACCATTTAAAGAGGGCAGAAGAAGAGAAGCCAGTGGGACTGGGCAATGGTTCTGAGAGATGTTAAAGACTCTGTGTGTGATTATGTAGCTTAGAAAAATGGGATGCCAAAGTAGGTGTTAGACTGTATGTCACCTCTGGCTTTTCCCTCCATGTCTCCTCCATGCTTGAAAAGAGAAGCCAAAGTCAAATTCAGATAGATATATGTTTTAACTCATGATTTAAATATAACTAAATATTGGTCAATATATACAAGCCAGAGATCTATGTTTATTTTTACTTATCTCCTTAGAAGTAAAAAACAGTAGGTCTTCACTTCTCCAACTGGGTCTTAGAAGTAAGTCTTGCTTTGAGAAGTAAATTCAATGAAAAATTTATCCACATCTTAGGATGAAGTTTAAGGGTAAAGAAACTAATTGGGGAGGTCCCATTCCAATGGGCAAGACTTGATAAGAATGGCATAAAGGGTTGAAAGAACCAAACACATGAGGAAGTTCTCATACGATACATTTTAAATTCAGTGATCAATATTTTCCCTGATCTACTCTACATAAGGAAAATCTCTATGATGAGCTTGAGAATGATAAAAATTTAAAAAACTCTCCCTCAAGTTGTTAATAATTTTCCAAGTAGTAGTGTATATTTTGAAGACTTTTCTTTCCATATCTGTTTTGCTCTAGTCTGCCTTGTTAAGAAGAGATGTCAGCGCCTATATTGTTTCATATGGATGGTGCCTCACCAAGGGCCACCACACTGGCCTCCCTAGGTTTCTAAAATCCCCATCACCAAAGCCATCCACGTTGAAAGTATTATCTCTAGACAGCCACCATTCAAAAGCCATATCCATTTTTGAAATGAGAAGAAAGGAAGAGCCTTCTCTCCATGTAAGGGTGAGCTTTTCAAGCTGCCTTTCTCTGTTGGTAAAATAATCACCATGAGAGGGAATAGAAATGGATAGATAATATTTTTATCAAAGGTATGGAGAACACTGTCTATAAAAATTACTGAGGAAAGGTAAGCAAACTAATGCATTTATTGGCATCTGTAAATTACCTCTCCTCTGCCCTTCAGCAATTATTTCAGATCTTCACCATTTTTCTCAAGCCACCTATTGCCACTCACATTCCATAGTTAATACTTTCTACTTTGTCAAGAAATTTGGGGCAGTCAGGTTTCCCACCTTAATGGCTTTTCCACCTTCCTTCAGTTTCAGAGGTTGTGGTGCCCTTCTGACCATCCAAGGTCTAACACCCTATCTGGCCACTCCATTTCTCCAGCAACTTAGTCCAAGAATTAAAATCTTTCTCATACATTTTAAGTCTCTCCCTCTCTGCTGCATTTTAATAACAGATATTTTCTAGTTTCTCTCCAAACCGACAGTCACCTGTAGTCACAGATTCCACTTCTTCCCCTCATTCTTTCCCAAAGTCACTGCTCTCTCTCTGCCTTCTAGCTTCTCTATCTACTCTTCACCTAAAAGTGCCTGGCCAAAATCATCAATTATCACATCATAAAACCCAGGGGATAGTTTTCTATCCTTGTTTAACTGGATATGTCTAACGCTTTTGAGACTGCTCACAAATTCTTCTTTTGGAAACTTCTACTCCCTTGGTATCTATCATAACATCGTCTCCTGCTTCCCCTCTTAATTCTCTGACTATTCCTTCTCTTAACACTTTTGTGGGCTCCTTTCTTCCACCTGTTCCTTAAGTGTTGGTGCACCTCAGGGATCCACCCTTTGTCCATGGTACTTATCTCCCTGTACCCTCTCCCTAAATAGCCTCGTCTGTTCTTTAGTTTTAACAACCACGTGTTTACTCAGTAATCAGTGGCTCCAGCCCAAACAGCTCCTCCAATGCTTCTAGCTCATATAACTGCCAGGCAGACATCATTACTCAAAGGCTTCACTGCTAATACCACAAATAATTTGCCTAAACAGAACTCATCGTCATCCCCATAGCCACCACCACAATCTTGTCCCCCTTCTCCTATTCTCTGTCTCAGCACCACTATCCCCTCCACTGCCCAAGCTGTAAACCTGGGGATTCCTGCTTTTCTCATTGCCACATCCAGTCTGTCACTAAGTTCTCAGGAACTTAACTCCTAAATATTTTGTAGGTCACCCTCTTCTCTGTATTTCTACCAGTATGATCCTGACTCAGACCCAGATAGCTCTCTCGTGCTTTTGTGTTGGCCTGCTAGGATCCTCTCTGGTTGGCTGGCCACCTTCAAATGTATCTCTAACATAGCCACAAGCATGGCCCTGCTTCAAAGCAAATCTGACCTTCATTTTAAATAGGTGCTCTTAACCTGCAGTGTATAAACAAACCTCTAAGGAGTCCACAGATAAAAATCAGGGGTTCCATGAACTTGAGTGAGAAAAAAAGTTGCATCTTTATTTTACACTAAGGTTAGTTAAAATTAATATTAGCATTCTCTTTGATAGTGAGAGTAGGTACAAACTATGGTAGCATTAACAGTACTTATGATTTTTTTCACAGATTGCCACCAATAAAAGTTGTAGTATTTGCATTTGGCATTACAGTTGTTTCAGTTACCTCAAAATATTAACCCTACTTATTACTTAAAAAATTAGTGTAGATATTATATTTAATGTATTGGTAAGCACAAATACTACTATATGACCAGTTGTTTTAATATTTTGATGATTTTATTCAAATAAAATGGGGTTTCTTTTTACTTTTATAATTTTTACTTTACGCAAGTTCCATAGCAAACACACAAGGCTAACCATAGTCGATTTCTCACTGCTGCCCATTTCTCCAGACTCATATCTTAATAATTCCCACATCAGCTTTGTGAGTCAATAATATTGGGCTGAGCATTACTCCCCATACAAATTACTACACTACCTTGCCCTTATGCTTCTTCTATTGGAATTCCCTCCACACTCATCCCTCTTTCTTCACCTAGAAAACTTTTTACTCATCCTCCAACATCTTCCCTAAGTAAGGCTGTGTCTTGATGTATGTTCCCATAGGACTTTGCATCTATCTATGCCACCGAACTTACTGCATTCAATTAAAATTATTATTGTACATCGATGCCCTCCATTAGATTGTGAGCTGAGTCCAGGCAGGACTGTATAAAGAGTTATTTCTAACTCCATCACCAGGATCCAGCCCACAAGTGGTACGGAGTTGGGTTGGGGGGATAGGTTAAACACTAAGAGACAAGATCAAGCATCACCTGTTTCAGCTTTGCCTCTCCTCAATCCTGATTTTTCTTCCAGATATTGATAAAGTATATTAAAGGTAACTTTCACCTTGGAGGAAGTAGAAGCTACTCTAAAACTGTGAAAGAACAGTATTCATATTTCTATGCAGCTTTGTTTACAGGAGAAATCCTCTCTTCCTCATTCTTCCCGTGTCTTCACATCTTCCCAGTCCTCCACAAAAATCAGACAGTAAGAACAGATTTTATTCTTTCCTAGAGTCTGTTTCTGAAATAAATTCAGGGAGATGTGAAAACAGTTTCTTTTTCCCTCTGCACTTAGAAAGAAGAATTGTTAACCTCCCAGAAACAGCAGGAGAAGAAAAATATTCGTGTTTTCCTTTAGAAAACAGATTTCTTTGTTTTCCATGATATATATCTTCTAAATAGGAAGATAGAGTTTTAAGAATTATCAAATGATAGATTAAATATAAAAATTCTAAATACTCTGCTACTCATTCTAGATGACCAAAAAACTATTAGAATAAAAAGTCCAATGGTTGGATATGTGGCAATATTTAGGTGTTATTTGGGGGATAATATTTAAATGAATTGTTTCTAAGAATATTCCAAAGTTAGCAAGGCTATCCATTCATTTTGGAAAACACGTTATTCAGTCAGATTAGACTAGTCAGATTATTCCTAAAATTGCAAATAAGGAGAATAAAATTCAGACTAGTTTTATAGATAAAATATAAAAAGAAGTAATGCAAAAATAATTCATTACCAATCTCAAAGCTCCCGTTAATAAATCCGACTAGAAATGTAGGGATGTTGAATTGTCTCTCTATTTGTGTGAGCATGGAATTCATATAAGATCCAGATAGTGTTTTGGATACAAATGCACATGTTATTGCCAGAAGAAACATCTAGGGAGAAAAGAATATTAAAAAACACAGGAAAAATTTATTTTTGTATTTACCACCTATTAACAAAATATCTTCTACCATAAGAATGGTTGTCTCCAACATAAGTAACCCTTGAATATGCAAGAAACTTTTAATGTGGTCTGTTCTTCTGGTCTTTCATGCCATGTTATCTCTTTGAAAACTCAAAGTAGGACTGATTAGTAATACTGAATTTTGTAAGTAGTTGTAGCCTCATTATTTTATAGGCATATCTTGTACATACACAGAAACAGCCACTCTAAATAAGATATAGCTAATAGTTTAAATAGATCTTCAGCACTATAATGCTATCTGTAGTACAAAGAAGACATATACGATAATAAAAAAAGGAATGTGGCATTACACAAAGACATTATTTCTATAGCAAATTTGCTCAGGGTCTCTCCAAAGTAATAGGTAAATTATGCAACATTAGATTGCTGCTCACTCCCAGTTTATTTATTTAAAGCAATGTTATATGTTATATATATATATATATATATATATATTACAGTAATTATAAACCATTATAAAAATGTTTCTAAACTGACCAGGTATTTGCTTTAAGGAATGAATATGAATACAATAAATTTCCATGTATTGAATCACATTTCTTATATACTGATAGAGTTTCAGAGGACAGTCAGGTTGATGTGATCCATAACAAAAATCAAGGACAACTTAACAAATAGAACTATTGTGGTCACCAAAAGCTAGCATGATCTTACTAAAAATGTGGAAAAGTCAAAATTTTGATAGTTTTATTAAATTAGAAAGAAACAGACTTAGATTTCAATAGAGGGCTTGGCAAATGAGTATTATATACTGGGTAATAGTATAATTAGGTAGATTAAGCACTGCTTCAGGACCAACAAATTAGTGATGAATAGATTTAGGTTGTCCTGAATGGTGGTTTCCAACCCTATGCCATAGGACTTTTTCCTTGGTCCCACTTAAAGATGTTTCCTGATGACAGTTCCATCCTTGGAGACAATTCTATGCTCTCTAGCCAGCATACTCAAATCCCTAAAATCCTCACCCCTCCACCTTTCACATTCCCAATCTTGAACCAACCCCACAATTTATATTGTACCTGCACATTCCGTTCAAAATTATTCACAGTCTTTTCTATTTCTCAGTCTTCAAACCAGTCAGGTGCTTTTCATGACCAGCAAATGATCTCTGCAATGTCATCATCAAACTTACCTCCATCTCTGCCCCTCTAATTCCCCTCCTTCCTTTAAAGGATAGGTGTCCCTTTTGCAGTACAATAAAATTCCTCCACCCATGCTTTTGAATCCATTCTTCCCATTTGAGATCATGATTTATCAGTAAATACTCTATCCTCTATGTTCAACCTCACACCCTTTACTGCCTCTCTCCCTACTAAGTATATTCAAGATATTTCTGTCTTTAAAAAATTTTATTTTTTCCCTAACCCCTGACAATTGCTACTCCAGCTCCTATCAGGCTGTTTGGAAGAATAATCTAGGTTTATTGCCTAGACTCTAACCTTCCGTTCACCCTTTAGTTTCCTACTGTCTGGCCTCTCCTGAAGCTACTCCACAAAAGGTCAAAAGCAACTTCTTAGTTTCCAAGTCCAGTAGATACTTCTTAGTCCTCAACTAACCTGATGTCTCTGATTCATTTGACCCCGCTAATCTCTTTTCTTCCTGAAATTCCCTCCCCCCATGCATACGTATATGTCCACCTGCCTGCTAGACTCTTTCTATTCAGTCTTCTCTTTGGTCAACCCCTTCAGGATTTGTCTTGTACCTTCCACTCTTTGTGCTCTATGTGCTCTCCCTAAGAAATCTCACTGATTCCCATAGCTTTCCCTATCATCCATATGCTGAAATCTCTCAAATGAACACACAATTTAGCTAAGACAATTGCCAGCATTACTTAGTTGCCTCTAGTCTTGTCCACACCTATACTCCCTCCCCTTGCCACCACCACTAATTTGGAGTTTAGTAAATATCTGTCAAATGAATTAATAAAATGCATAACTAGCATGTGATTTCACTTCTTAAAATGTTTTAGTGATTTCCCACAAGCAAAAATCTCTACTTTTTTAGATGGCAAGTGGTGTCTCATCTATATCTCAGTATCATATCCTGCTGCTTGTCCCTGGACATAATGTTCTACTTACAGTCTCTTAATTCACCCTGCCATTTCACATCTCAGTGCCTTTTACAGGATGGCATTCCACTTGCAAAGTTTTTCTTCCCCTTATGCATCTGATAAATGCATACTCTATCTCTATTATCAGCTCTATTGTCGTTTCTAATGTGGAGCTTTCCTGTCTCTAGGCTCCCCAGGCAGCCTTGACTACTCACTCATTACCTACCTGCTATGTACTGTCTCTATTATAGCTCTTACCACAATGCACTTTATATATAAGCTTGGGTGCCTATAACCTCCTCCCTCACTATACTGTGAACAATTCAAATATAGGTTCCATATATTATTTACCTTTGTATCTTTGGTGTCTAGTAAATGCCTAAAGAATAGTAGGCACTCAATACAAGTTTGCTGAATGAATGCACAGATGAAATATTCAAAAACATCCTAAAGAAGTGGTCAGAGCTGAAAGTGGGCTGAATATAAGATGAAATGTAATAGGATTAAATAAATACTCCTAAGCTGAGTTGGCTGTACCGATTCATCTGGAGAAATCTGAATAGAAATTTATGTGAAAAAGACCTGGGAAATTTAAGTATAAGGCTCAATATGAGTCAAAACCCTTACATGCCTGAGAAGATAATATAGCTATATCTCCAGTTGTTTATTCTTTTATAGTAAATGTCATTTGTAGACACTGACTCCACACTATAAATCTTTGCAGAGCACATGGTTGAGAATATAAAATTTTCACATGGTTTTATAATTCAGGTTTTATATTTTTTTTTAAAGATTTTATTTATTTATTTGAGAGAGAGAATGAGAGACAGAGAGCACGAGAGGGAAGAGGGTCAGAGGGAGAAGCAGACTCCCTGCTGAGCAGGGAGCCCGATGCGGGACTCGATCCCGGGACTCCAGGATCATGACCTGAGCCGAAGGCAGTCGCTTAACCAACTGAGCCACCCAGGCGCCCCAGGTTTTATATTTAAAAGTAAGGTCTACCAAAGAACATATGAATCATATTTGGGAGAATAATTTATTTTATTTTACACTTTAAGAGAGGAAACTAGATGAATCATGACCCCAATGTTCTTTCCCAAAACACCTAGATGGGTTGCCTAAACAGTTTGGTTCTAGTCACAAAGTGAAAGCAACCCGTGGCTATTATGACTCATGTCTGGTGCAAAATAACTTCTATGTTTATGAAGCTATCCTACTAGCATTTAACAGTAATGCCCAGAGTTTTAGGCAAACTTATTGAGGACAGTCCTCTGATGCTTTCTAAAGAATTTTGTTTAATATGCATATTTCTAAGTTCAGAGAAGCAAAAAAAAAGTCTGACTATTAAGCAGTTGGTGCCCAGTTTTACCTGATAAACTTGTCCTCTCAATATTTTGCCATAACATGAACATCAGTATCTAATCTTGCCAAACTCCAAAGCAAATATTAAATTAAGAGCAATTGTTTATAAATAACACCTGACTTGACTTTTATTTTTTTATTTAAATTCAATTAGCCAACATCATTAGTTTCAGATGTAGTGTTCAGTAATTCATCAGTTGTATGTAACACCCAGTGCTCATCATATCACGTGCCCTCGTTAATGCTCATCACCCAGTTACCCCATCCCCCCACCCGCCTCCCCTTCAGCAACCCTCTGTTTGTTTCCCAGAGTTGAGTCTCTCATGGTTTGTCTTCCTCTCTGATTTCTTCCCATTCAGTTTTTCCTCCCTTTTCTTATGATCCTCTGCACTGTTTCTTACATTCCACACATGAGTGAAACCATATGATAATTGTCTTTCTCTGCTTGACTTGACTTTTATACACAAATGCTATTAATTTTTTCTTCCAAGTTTTTATTTAAATTCCAGTTAGTTAACATATAATGCTATCAATAATAATAGCTAATATTTATTGAATGTTTACAATATTCTAGTCATTTTTCCAAGTTTGTAAAAAGGAAAAAATCCTATGAAATAAGAGTATTGTTGTTAGCTTTTTCAAATAAGAAAGCTGAAGCACAAAGAGGTTAAGGAACTTGTCCAAGGTCACATGGCAAGTATGCAGTTGAATCTAGGTATGAACACGGGGATCCTGAGCCTAGATCCTTATTTTTAACACTCAATTTTAGAAGAAGGACATGAGAATTGGGGGACAATTTAAGAGGAATTTTTAAAATAATTAATATGGCATTTTAGGCAAAAGTAGTTTTTTAGATCTAGATCATAATTCTCCACTTTTATGCACATATGTAGATTTTCCCTACATGTGTGTGAAGAGAAAACAAACTTTGACAGGGAGAATATTGGTGGCAGTTTAAGTCTGGAAATCACTTGCGGGCACTAGCTGTAGAATCCAGACAAATTTCCAGATCCCTTGGTTTAAAACAAATTCAAATTTTCTTTGAAGGCAAATGGCTTTGAAGATATAGGAAAAGAATTTGCTCTGAAATAGGCAAGAATACCAGAAACAGCTAACAAAATGGGCATTATTCTTACAGAGAATGATTGATATGTTGCCAAAGTTTGAAGTAAACATTTGTTTTACTGGCTTGTTGTGAAGAAATCATTGCACGCATATAGACAAAGCATTTCTGTCCATTGAACCATTTTCTAGGAGAGACCCTCATACTCCTCTGGACTAGAAACCCTACAAGGGTGAGCATTGAAATGGCCTTTTGATACAACAAATTAAATCCTGGTATAATATATTATGTGCCTGAAAACTTTAAGACCTTATCTTCCATTTAAGTTCCTCAAAACCATTTCTGATTAAATTGCCTGAATCAATAGCCCTATTCAACCCTCAGTTTAAAACAAACCTCAGCAAAGCAAGAAATTATCAGTTTATCAGGTAATGTGACATTAACATTAAATCACTTCATGTGAGCAACTTTACAAGCTCTAGGTTAAAAAAAAGAAAAGGTACATATACATATATCTACACACACACACACACACACACACACACACGAGTCCATACCTTCAGCTTGGAAAGACATCTTATTCTATGGGTTTCAATTCTTTTCTCAGTTTCTGCCATGTTGTTCTTCTGAGTGTTCCAAGGTATTTAGGTTTTAAATCTTGATATTTCTTAGTTCTATCCTTTTAAAGGAGACAAAAATCTATTAACTGACAAAATCATAAATCATCATTCTTTTGAAGAAAACATGGAATCTGAGTAACAATCAGATTCCATTGTATTACAAAAATACCTGAGAAGCTTTGATTCAGATCTAGAAGAAAATAATGACGTTAGAGAAGATTTAGTTGCTAATTTTCCATTGAGAAAGTTACATCAAATAACTTTAGTTACTCTTTAGTGAGATTAAAGATATTAGAATAATTTGCTAGGTCCCCTTGCAAAATAATGACCACGTGGTTAAAACAAAGCTTTTCATTTCTTTAGCCAAACAAATAGAACCAAAGTGAGCTTTTTGGACTTACATGAAAATGCTGCTTTTAAGTACACAAAGACTTTGATTTGTGTTTGTGCTAAAAATCTGCTTCAGCAAGCCTACCAAGGCTCAAAAATCTCTATTTGGCCAGGCTCCCTCTTCAAGTTCTTTGCGTTCCAAGACTTCCCTGGAGTTTCAGGAAGGGAAACGTTTTCTGGGGCACTGCTGATTCATGGAAACCTGGGGGGATATGGAATTTTAATCATGGAAATAGCCTAAGTAAAAATAACAAATAATTCTATGATCTGGAAAAGAATCCTACAGTTCCAAGTTATAATGTAAGGTTTAGAAGAAGACCAAACATATAAGTGGAGATCTATATGCCTACACATATAATAAATACAGATATATGTGTATTTACACACATATATATTACATAGGCACACATTTTTATATGTAAAACAAAAAGATGAGTAAAACTATTAAATTCTACTAACCTTTTGTCAAAGATTTTGTCTGCTTGTGTCTTGAAACTAGAGCATTATTTTGCACCAAAACCAAAGTGTTTCACTCAGACAATATTTATTCTAGTAAATCTACTTCAAGTTGCCAGAATGATACCTTAGTAGTACACCCAGCATTAATATATTAAAATCTTCTGAACAATATCCATTTAACAAGTGATCCTCAGTGCACGAATTTATAAAACCTAATTGCTTTGCCTCTATACATTTGCTGAATCCCACTTCCCTACACACATTAAGGCAACAGCCACTGAACAATTATGTATGAGCTTAGTTCTCTTTACTCATCTTCTCGCAGACATAACAAACATTTCTTGAAAGTCTGCTATGTACCAACCATAGGGCTAAGCACAGGATTTTAGCTGTGAACAAGACAGTAAGGTGTCCTACAGACAATATAAACCAGTTAGAAAGGTGTAAGCCTCTGTGGAAAGTACTTGGACCCAGATCGCAAAGAACTTACGTTTTTATTGAAAAAGGTAAAACTTTTAAATGAAACACATTAGAATACAACTGAACAGCATATGACCAAATACAAATTGTTTGGTATGTAAGTGGTGAAAACTTGGTAGATCAGACGTGAAAATTATTAGAGACAGTCTTGGCAAATCTGAATAGCATACAAATGAACTCATGCTGAAATTCACCCCCATGTAATGCCAAGTCACCTTAATTACAGAGCAAGTACATGGCACTAGTTTTGGAAAAACCAATAGATAGGGTCAATTTTTCAAAAGAATGGGTACTGCTAGTCTTTGGTCCTCGTTTGTAATATATCTGCTTTTATCACAGACCTCTCAACTGTCCTCATTTCTTCCTTCTCACGATTTAGAATCCAGTCTTCCTCCTCTCTTTTTTTCCCTTCTTTTCTCCTTGCCAATATCTGAGTCCAATTATGGTCACGCAATTAAACAATAAGAGAAGGAGAAAACCTATTCCTCTCCCATGTTTTAGTGGCTAAGGTCATGACTATTCTAAATGCCTATTTTTCCTATGCGGCAACCGCAGGACATAGAATGTGGAGTTAGTGACACAGAAAGTCCCCACAAACAGGAATTTTCTAGTTCCATCTCTGCATTGTGATACTATGTACCCATCTTGAGCAGTTTTTATCACCATGCCTCAAAGATTTGTTCAAAATGTGTTTATTGTCTTGAGAGAAGTTTTATAAACATTTGTCTTGATTGGGGTAAGAGGTAGTTGTTTGAAGCTAAGCACCTGGAAGGAATTAAATGTGATTGAGTTAACACTAAACGTTCCCTAAAACATTTTAGCTTTTCAGACACATTTTAAAAATTTTCAAGATTTTTTTAAAATTTATTTATTTGACAAACAGAGAGACACAGTGAGAGAGGAAACACAAGCAGGAAGAGTGGGAGAGGGAGAAGCAGGCTTCCCACTGAGCAGGGAGCCCGATGCGGGGCTTGATCCCAGGACCTTGGGATCATGACCTGAGCCGAAGGCAGATGCTTAACGACTGAGCCACCCAGGTGACCCCATTTTAAAAGTTTTAATGGAGGAAAACAAATAAATGAATCAATGAAATCTATTCTATTTATTTAAAAAAAAAATCATGAAACCAATAGTTAATGTCACAATCACTGTTGAGTACTTTGGCTCCAAATCAGGAAATGCACATTGTTTCTTCATATCCTTATGGCCCTGCCAGTGCCAGTCATGTGAACAGACCCCTTTTGTTAGCACAGTGTTGTTTATACGGTGACTTCTGCTCCTGGGACCACAATGTCACCAACAAATCCCCATCAATCATTACTGTTAATGAAAACAACTTGCTCAAGTTTTATTAAGTTTAGAAGCATTTTCCTTCTCTAACTCCTTCTCAGCATTCAAATGGGGGCAGGTAATTCTTTAGTATGCATTCTTGCACAAATGTGGTTGAGTTTCTTCCATGCCTACTCATCACAACCCTACTGGGGTTCTTTGTTTTTGTTTTGTTTTATAGCTGTGGTGAAAGCACATTATAGAATTGTTAACTAAATGCATATTTGGGGTCATTGGACCTCTAGAGTTTTTTCATCTTGCATGACTGAAACTCTATAACCACTGAATAGCAACGCTCCCGGTTTTTGGCACCCCTGGGTTGTCAGCCCTTAGTGATATGTCTCAATCACAGAAGAATACAATGTTTTACAAAACAAATAAATGGTCTTGTTTGTGGCTTTCCCCCAGTGTTAAGTATCTAGACATAGTTTTCTATTACTATAAATCACCAGGGGGAAATACATATGTTTAATTTTACATTATTCTATACTATTGAATTAATAAAAATAAAGGCTTTCCTTTATCATGGCAAAACTAGTTGTACATACATGAAGAAGACCTAAGAGAACATCCTTCCCCTGGGGAAAAAAAAAGAGAGGGCTGCACCAGCAAAAATCTTATAAAAGTTGTTTATTTCCAGAATCTTCAAATCACTCCTAACTCTGCAAGAAAAGAATAGTCTCTTGGTGATATCCAGCTGAAATAATTTCAGCCAATACCAAATCAAGTAAGTGCCAATAAGACAAAAAAAAAAGCAACAATAACTCTTTGTGTGATGCCTTCCAAATTATTTTTCTTCTATTAGTTCATTTTCATCTGAAATCAAAAAATAAGATAATGGATTCTGCAAATCAGCCTTACAAATATAGGTATTATGTTACTTCCTACATTCAGAGGAGGAACCAGGAATGCATAACTTCAGGCAAAAGTAGAGGAGAAACTTAACTGAGTCATAGACTAATACATTGATTACACCATTCAAAGCAAAGAATGGAACACACAAAAACACAAGCACAAAAATCTCCATCAGCAATCCAGCAATAAAAATACCTACCCTGTTACTTTGGATAACATACTGTCTAACTCTGGATAACAGACCAAGATGTGGAAAAGTAAACCTGAAACCTGACTTCTAAATCTTTAGGAGAACTGATTGTAAATATCATCAGTGTTATATCCCATGCCAAGTCATTCTAGAGAATGATTAGATAATTATGAGAATAGCCATTGTTTTCCACACTTGCAATTTTTTAAAAGATTTTTTTATTTTAGAGAGAGAACACAAGAGCATGAGCAGGGGCAGAGGTGTAGGCAGAGGGAGAGAATCTCAAGTGGACTCCCTGCTGACCTAACTGAGTTCAAGGCCTGGCCCCAGCTTGATCTCACAACCCTGAGATCATGACCCTGAGATCATGTCCTAAGCCGAAACCAAGAGTAGGAGGCTCAACCAGCTGAGCCACTTGGGCACCCCTTCCACACTTGCAATTTAAACTCTTTCAATTCTTCAGGTTATTATCCCAATTCTTTTCTTCCTTTTGCCTGTATAGACCTAATTTTGGGTACAAAAACATGTTCCTTCATTAAATTCTGGCATGTAGATACTGAGTTGCTCCTTTTCCTCATAGAGATAAAACTTTATGTTTATAAAGCTCCCCAAATAACTGAAAATCCAATAAAATGTTTCTATTTTTCCCCAACCCATCGATTTATGTATTTGTTCATTCACCTTAATGGAGGCAGCTAGATATAGTAAAAATGTCAGAACTTGAAGCCCAGTTAGCGAATTCTAGTTTAGTTGTGAGTTGTTTAAACTCTTTGAGCCTATTTTTCCTTACCTAAGATGTGGGATACCTATGTGTTTATGCCTACCTAGCAAGATTGTTAATGAAGATTGAGTTATAAAATTTACCTAATGCTCCTTGTGGGGTTGTTGGAATGAAATAGTTACTCCATAAATGGTAATGATTATTATTCATTCATTCCCCAAATATTTATGAAGACTCTACTGCATTCCAAGCACAGTGGTTGGTGCTAGCAATACAAAGATGAATAACATATGTGCCTGCTCATAAGCTATTGGGAGAGATAGATAATTAAATGATAATCATAGCTAGCTAGTGCCATAATGCAGACAATTTGAGCTAAGTACTGGGAAGAGGCAATTAATGAAAACTTTTTGTCTGTATATTCATTTGGAATACCATTTGAGTACAGCACAATAGTTTAAGTGCTTGGGCTTTGAAATGAAGCCCGGCTGGCTTGAAAGCTTGTTGTTAAACTAGCTGTGTGATTTTGTACACGTCACCTTAATCTATCCACGCAATGAAGACAGTCTCTATCTTTCCTATCAGCCAAGGTCCAGACAGGAAAATAGAACTCATGACAGGTAGTTCAGTAAAAGAATTTAATATGGAAAACCAGTGATAAAAGTATCAGAAGAGTTTAAAAGCCAAACTGGGCAAATGGTGTGCAATCCAGAGATTTATACCAGTAAGAAGTTACTCCCATGCTTAAGGCTGAATCAAAAAGGGAAAAGGC